GATTGAAGCAGCGGCAATCACGTTCATCGTTGCGGGCAGCGAGACTAGTAAGTTCACAGCACCGTCACTCTATTTGGTCGCCACAGCGCTCGACTCCTAATCGCACCTCAGCGGCCACTATGCTGTCTGGCACGGTCTATCTCCTATGCCAAAATCGAGCTATTCTGGAAAAGTTGACGGCTCTTGTTCGTACCGACTTTCCCAGCGAGTCTGACCTCACCCTGGTCAGGCTCCAGCAACACGAATACCTCAACGCCGTTCTTCACGAGGGACTACAACTTTATCCGCCTGCGCCTGACAACCTCTTCCGGGTGACTCCAGAGACCGGAGGATATGTGATGGGTGATTTGCTGCCCCCAAAGACTAGCTTGACCGTGAACCTTTGGGCGGCCAACCGGTCGTCGGAGAACTTTCATCGCCCTCTCGAGTTCATCCCAGAAAGGTGGTTGAAAGATGCCCCAGTTGAGTTCCGACAGGATGATAGGAATGCCATGAGACCATTCAGCGTGGGACCTAGGGATTGCCTGGGGAAGAAGTAAGCTCCGATCCCGCAAAGTCGCCTGAACACATTCAGTGACCAGCTTAGTTAACCATGTCGACAGTCTTGCGTGGGCGGAGATGCGCATGATTCTTGCTTATTTGGTTTGGAACTTCGATCTCGAACTCCAATCGGATAGCCAAGGTTGGATTGAGAGACAGAAGGTGTTCATGCTTTGGGAAAAGCCAGACCTAAACGCGAAGATTTCCCGGAGACATTGATGAAAACGCAGACTGGAGCATGGCTAGACAGCACTTGATGAGACCAATGAGGACATTCTTTGCATAATCCTGGGCAAAATCCCTGTCATTACATCACCGATCACATTTCATGAGTTCTACAATTTGTTGTTTGAACGATTAACGTGATAGCAAACAGCTTCCATTTCCCAAGATACCAATGAATGAATTTCGCGATCTGCTATCCAACAGCAGAGGTCTTCCAACACAGAGGCCTCCGTGGGATGGGTAGATTGGAATTTGTTCCGGGAGAAACTTGATTTAGCACTAGCTGCCCAATGTGTGATTTGCTCGGGACCTTGAACTCATCCGAGCACAGTGAAGTAAGAACCCGCAGAGCGGTCCGATGCTAGCGGTGGATACCTCCCGGATGAGATTCCAGCCAGTAATTCATATCCACAACACGATGCGTGCTTAGACACAAAAAGATTCGCCGAATCTCACACCGGCCGGATGCCGTGATTCCCCATGAAGGTGTAGGTAGTCACACGCTCACAAACTTCGCTTCCGGTTGGTGTTGAAAATGATCCGGTCATCCCCGGACGACGAAATTGCTACCATTCCCCCACTCCGGTCAGCCGGTACCCCCGCAAAGTGCCTGCTGGTAGACGTCATGTTCCTGGCAGTATTCCCGGAAGCGCTCCCCGTCCCCTCATCCTGCCCATTTCTCCTCACGATGTGGAGGCCCTGCGGAGGAACTCCGCAGTTCAAACCTATCAATCATCGTAACTGCGCAACGTAGGATGAGATTCCTGAAGTAAAGTTTGCAAGTCTTGATGTTCTGGAAAAAAGAATCCTTGGCTCGGCCGAGAAACGCACCGATTCGATCGTCGCACCAGCGGTGAGCCGGCTACTCTTCGGGGATTTATATAAGTCCGTGTTGTTACATAACATATTAAACGGGGCTTCAGTGACCATAGTGACCATACATAGATACATAGGTACTCACAGCCATCGTGGCCGACGCCTTGTCTCACCACCCGACTTTTCGAGAGTCAACCCGTTCGGAATGTGGTCAACAAGAAGCTTGGCTGCTCTTGCGCAGCTTCTCGCGCTTTCCACAGCCGTCGCAGCCGTCGCGCAGTCGCCAGAGGTTTACCCGTCGCGTAAGTCTCGTTGCCCGTCCAACAACCCTGTGCGCGTCAACAAATCAACAACTGACGTAATTGCGAAATAGCATCTGGAAAGGGATCAGGACTTTGGAAAGATGCATACGCCAGCGCGCGTAAATTCGTGGACCAATTGACCTTGGAGGAAAAGGTCAATGTTACGCGTGGCTTTGCGAGCGACAATGTTTGTGCTGGCAATACCGGGTCAATCCCGCGGCTGGGGTGGCCTGGGATGTGCCTTCACGATGCAGGCAACGGCGTGAGAGCAACCGATCTGGTCACTTCGTATCCTTCGGCTTTGCACATCGGAGCCACTTGGGACAAGAACTTGACATATCACCGTGGGTATTGGATGGGCAAGGAGTTCAAGACGAAAGGAGGTGAGTCTAATGAGCTTGAGAACCTCCAACTGGAGAACTCGACTGACGCCCTTCCTTAGTAAATGTTCTCCTTGGACCTAATGCAGGTCCTCTCGGAAGATCACCTCTTGGTGGCAGAAACTGGGGTAAGGGATGCTCACATACACTGCAAGTTCCGTATGCTAAACTCGTGGATAGAGGGTTTCTCGGTTGATCCGTACTTGTCGGGACAGCTCAACGCTGAGACCATCATTGGCCACCAAGATGCCGGTGTCATTGCCAATCTGAAGGTAAGGTTCTTTGCTCCGAGTTGGATGAGCATTATCCACTGACCTATACGGTAGCATTTCATTGGAAACGAACAAGAAACCTACAGAAGGCCATACTTTGGCGTCGAAGCCGCATCGTCCAACATCGACGACAAGACCCTCCATGAGTTCTACCTCTGGCCTTTTGTCGACGGCGTCAAGGCCGGTGCTGCATCTATCATGTGCTCCTACAACAGAATCAACAACACCTATGGCTGCGAAAACAGCAAACTTATGAACGGTGTCCTCAAGGACGAGCTCGAGTTCGATGGGTTCGTACTCCTCGATTGGAATGCACAACACAACCTCCAGAGTGCCAATTCTGGCCTAGACATGGTCATGCCTCTCGGAGGAAGTTTTGGACAGAACTTGACTGATGCTGTCAACAATGGTACTATCGCTGAGTCTCGAGTGACGGATATGGCTACAAGGTAATTCATCCCCATATAAGCAACACTAGGCGTCATTAACCTCTTCTAGAATCCTTGCGGCTTGGTACCTTGTTGGCCAAGACACAGACTTCCCCACTCCCGGGATCGGCATGAAGAACCTCACAGAGCCTCATGAGCAAGTCGACGCTCGTGACCCAGACTCGAGGTCAAACATTCTCGAGAGTGCCATCGCCGGACACGTCCTCGTGAAGAACGAGAACAGTGCCCTCCCCTTCGCCACGCCACCGAACATGATTTCGGTCTTTGGCTACGACGCCACGGTACCCGACACGAAGAACACTGACAAGCTCTTCGAGCTCGGTTACTACTCTTCCCCTGAGATGGGCCAGGCCGTGCTGGGCACCGAAAGACATTTCGACCAGGCAGCCAAGGGGGGGACCATCGTCAGTGGAGGCCGCGCTGCCGCCAACGCGCCGTCTTATATCCTCGACGTAAGTAAAAGCCCATTACCCATTTCCACATTTGGCTGACCCATTGTAGCCCCTCAGCTCCATCCAGCACAGAGCGGCCAAAGACGGTAGCTGGGTGAACTGGGACCTAACATCCTCTAACCCCGACGTCAACGCAGCAAGCGACGTCTGCCTCGTCTTCATCAACGCCATGGCAACGGAAGGTTGGGACCGCGACGGCCTCCACGACGACTTCAGCGACGGTCTTGTCCTCAGCGTAGCCTCCAAATGCTCCAACACCATCGTAATCATCCACGCCGCCGGCATCCGTCTCGTCGACCAGTGGATCGAGCACCCCAACGTCACCGCCACCGTCATCGCCCATCTTCCCGGCCAAGACAGCGGCGAAGCGCTCGTGCAGCTCCTCTACGGCGAGACCTCCTTTTCCGGAAAGCTCCCCTACACCCTCGCCAAAAATGAGAGCGACTACTCTGTCTACAAGCCCTGCGGGCGTGGCGAGACGAACACGACCAGTCCGCAGTGCGACTTCACGGAGGGCGTTTACGTTGACTACCGCGACTTCGATGCTAAGAACGTCACTCCAAGATACGAGTTTGGGTATGGGCTGAGTTACACTAGCTTTGAATACTCGTCGATCTCAGTCAAGAAGCAGGATACTCAGGCAGGCTTTGCGGCGAACTCGGGTGCCTTGTGGTCTACCGTCGCAACGGTGCACGCCACGCTGAACAACACAGGGTCCCGCGCGGGCGAGGAAGTCGCGCAGCTGTATGTTGCCATTCCGAACAGTCCGCCGAAACAGCTTCGTGGCTTTGAAAAGGTGGCCCTTGAGAGTGGACAGGGTGCGGACCTGCAGTTCGAGTTGACAAGGCGGGATCTGAGTGTGTGGGATGTCGTGGCTCAGAAATGGACTCTCCAGGAGGGCGAGTACACCGTGTTTGTTGGCGCGAGCAGTCGAGACTTGCCTCTGTCGCAGGTTCTTTCGATCTGAGCTGGAGCATCCTCGGCTGATGACTTTCCCTTATATGCTTAATACTTAGTTTGATGATGACCACAAAGCCGAGTTGTCTCGTCCTCAGTGAAGCAGAGAACACTGACAAATACACATCTGCCCCATCAGCTACTCCAAAGAGATAAAACACGAGGGAGGCGACTTCTCTGCCTTATCCGTCTACAAAAACCATATAAGCAGCCTTTCAAGGGACCCGCTTTACTAAAGACATCATCATAAATGCACTAGAAAAGCTCAAAAAGCAAAAAAAAGGTCCATCCAGGATTCGAACCTGGGCTTACGGAAAGTTCTGATATCATCAGAATCCGACGTCCTAACCAACTAGACTAATAGACCAATTGAGATGTTCCAGCTTTAGTGAGCTGGTGTGAACACTTCCGACGGAAATGTGGAATATGTCGTGTGGGTTTAGCCCTCGTGGACCTCAAGTGGAGACAAATTTGACCAGGGTTCCGGTTGATAGAACACAAGCCCGTCGCCGTTGCCAGATTCATGTCACTTGTCAGTCGTTCGATCTTGTATTCTTGAGACACTGGTAGATACAAAACAATCGTCTCTTAAACGCCTTCCATTATTTCAGTACCCGAAACGCTCTAGGCACTCAACCAATTCCTTCTCACCAGCAGCCCGCATCTCCGTGACCTGCTCCGCCGTCTTCTTTTTCAGCATGAATGGGTGGTGTAGGGCGAATGGAGCAAGCAGGCTCTCCAACTTTCTAAGCTGTTCGATCGCGGCCATGCCGGGGATCTCGCTTGGTCTCAGTGCTCCTCTTTCAGCCAGCGCATCATCCCAAGCTTTCGCTCTCGCAAGTTGCCCAACTGCCCCTTCTGGCAGATTGGAAATGCCAAAGTCGCCTCTCAGCATTGCTTGGGCAATTTTGCCGTCGCTCAAGTCTGGGTCCCGTGCGGTGCCGGCGTTGGTGCTGCCTCCAATGTCTCCAAAAGAGGTGAAAAACTCGTGGGCTGGGTGTGAGACGTAGGCCCAGTCAAAGTCAAGGACTCCTGTGATTCTTCTTGTTTCGGGGTCAAATTGCACATTATTGGTGGCTAGGGCTTGAGTTAACAAACAGTCCCATTCTGGAAGCCTAAAATTTGCCTTTGACTTACTGAGATCGCCATGAATGAGCACACGTTGGGTCTCGTCGACTCCAGCGCTAGCAAGGTATCGACCAAGCCCGGAGGATATGAACTGGTCGATGCGTTCGCGAACGCCGTTCGGCTTCCAACCTTGTAGATTCGAGCTCCTATCGGCATCGCGCAGACTAGACTCCAGCTTGCACCTCCAAAACTCGGTGTACGAGTTCCATGGAGCTCCTTCGAGGATGGTCATCTTGCCACCTACAATCTTTCCAGACTCGTTGATGGTCAACCCACCATGCGAGGTTATGCTATCAGGCAATCGCGCTCGTTGGATGCCAGTGAAGACGTCCGCAATCTGTCCAAGGACGATGTTCCTCTCGTCATCTGATAGATCCTTGAACTTGGTGTCGAGCGGCACACCTTTCTTGAATTCCATCATGGTCCAACTGTAACCGTTTTCTGCGTCTTGAGCTGCCTTCCAGGCATAGACGGCCGGGATGAGTCCGGCAACTTCGGGCTTGAATGAGTGAAGACCCTGTCGAGCAAGATACATCGCTGCGACTTCGTTTTCGACGCGATTGTCTTGGATGATGTCCGTGGCCTTGGAGTTGGCTAGCCGCATGACAATTGTTGAGACGCCTCCCTGCGGTAGAGACGTAGTATACGGGCTGGCGCTGAGAAATACATCCTGCGTGGCTGGTTTGGCGAGAACAATTTTGTAGATGAAGTTGTTGTAGGGAAACGGAGCATCCTCCTGATATTCCACAGGCGTGATTTCGGTGGGCTGTGTTTTGTATCAATGAACTGAGCTCTTAAAGCAAAAGCAAGTGGTTGTCCGTACCTCTAGACCGAACCCGACCACCGTGTTCCTGACGAACTTTAGGCGGTCCTGGAAATCTTCGTGATTCATGGTGTAAAGAGATGTTTCGTTGCAACTTTGTGTACTAGGTAGTGTTATTGGTGAAATGGGTTTCTGGGAAAATGGTACTTGGGATTATGTTAAATATGCTGAAAGCCAGGGAGACATTTCGATTCTGATCCCAATACTGTCAAGCAACCACACCAGTCGAAATCATTGCTTCCCTCAAAATCGTCTTGAGTCAGAACGCCAAATATGGAAGGCAAACCGCAGTAATCTGCTTTTCCTGTCGCCTGCATGTTGCATGTTCACGATGTTGAGATATGTGCGATCTTAGAGTTGGGACGAATCGGATCTTACCCGATAATTCCGGTACCAATCAACAGTACGCTCCGTTGGAGCCGTCATCAGCTCTGATCCTTGTCAAAAGCCGTTGTTGCCTGGAGACTCTGCCTTAAGTTGTACGAGAATCGAGAATCTGGCCGTTTCTGCCTGAACTGTGCCACAGAGGCGCATGCAGAGTACAGCTGCTTCTGCAAAGTTCACCATTATTCGGACGCAGTTGCTGCTGGTGAATTCTTGTTACAGATTGTCTGGCAGCGGTACGACAACACTATCTTGAAATCACAGACTCGTCATATTCTGTCATCTCTATTCACAATCAAAACTCATTTATTACAATCGACCACAGTCTCCATGAAACGCCCTCTAAGTCTCTACAAGTCACAGTTAACTCCGGCCCAGGAGAACCCACGACATTGGTCTTTGCTATCATTGAGTCGATGATGTAATGCGATGCCGCATTAGAGCTACGAAGCCTTTTCTATGCGCAACTACCTGGAAGATAAATTTCTGATTTCGGTTAGTTTCCCCCCATTAGATTCCTGTCATACATGTGGCTTGAGCGGCTTTTTCGTTGAACTCGCGCGAGTTATGTGACATCCTGAGAAAAGATGTCTTTCTAGGCAATCCAGATCACTGATATGCCTGAGCTCATGGTTCAAGTCTTCCCTGGGCATCTCTGGTCAAGCCCGAGACCTTTCCAATTGTAAATCCCTATGACTCCCAGAGGGATTGTCGAAAGCAATTGAATGCGAATGAGCCGTTTAAACAGCGCAACATCGTCTATGGATCCTGATAACTCACTTAAAATCGACGAGGATGGCAGAATAAGCAGCGAGGAGCAATAAGTGGATCTTGACAATTTCCGCGAAGTCGCGAATCTCACCCTCCGGGATGTGAGAGGCGACCATCCCCGCAGCTTGTGTCCACCAATTCGAAAGAGAGTCCGCGAAAGAGCTCTTAGAACTTGGCGTCAATGTCTGACAAAGAGTTAGACATATCGGATTATTAAAGTAATTGCGTCTTCCCAGACATCACATTCGCAGTTTCCCGTGGTTTGTCCACAATCGCTCAGTGGCCACCGGCAATAACGGCAGATACACGAGATACGGTGCGGGTCGCTGACGGCGGATATTGGCTGCGCTAGACAGCAATAGGAAGCTCAGTAGCATCGATTCATGAATGCTGATCCCCCCCACGTGCCCGGGCAATCTCATTCTCTGGATGATAGCCAATGCGACTTCGGCCGCCACATGGATGAGCGTTTATCGGCTCGCCGCGTCAGCGCGGAATGATGCGTGCAAAGATACCGGCGGGCGGCGGAGGCCAAGAAAAGCTTGTTTGCGCGGGAGCTGCATCCTCTTAAAAGCTTGGCTGCATGCAACACCCGCCCGTCGGGAAACGCTTGCATCTCCAGGTGGCCGTCGGTTTTCCTCTCGTTCTTTTGCGCGGACTGACTCGTTCTTTCATTGGATCGGTCGTTTTAGAGTTCTCAAGATGCGTTTTACGAATACCATCTTGGCGTCGCTGGGCTTTGCCATCACCACCCCGGTCTTGGCTTGCGATAGCTGCGAACATCCTGAGAGGGATGTGGTGTTGACCAGACATGTTCGCAGGGCGCAACCTGATGCCCAGGCTGCTGCAGTCGCTCCTCGCGGCCCTCTGTCATGGGGTCAATTGAACTTTCTCCATACGACTGGTACGTCGCATTCAATGATGCGTGATTGAGAACATACATGCTGATGTTGGTGGTCTAGATACTCACGGCTGGTTCGTCCTTCATCGACAAACTCCATGATCTCCCACTGACTGAATTATGCAGGCTGGAAGGCCACATCCGTGAGCAGAACTATGGAGCCGATTGGGGTGACTTCGTGAGCTTCGTCAAGCATATGCGCCAGAAGGCCGAGGACCTCGACGTTGATCTGTTGGTGGTCGACACTGGAGTATGTAGAAGCGATTTCACATTCAGCGCAATGATGTTGACAATATTAGGATTTGCACGATGGTGCAGGCCTCAGCGACGCCACAGGTGTTTCCACCTACGCGAACGGCACCGGTGTGAATGGCCAAATTTCGAACCCCATTTTCGAGAACATCGACTACGATGTGCTGGCTATTGGTAACCACGAGCTGTACATTTCCAGCATCGCATACGAGACCTTCAGTCAGTTCGCCAAGGTCTATGGTGACAGATACGTCACTAGCAATGTCCAAATCCGCAACCCCAGCACGGGCGCGCTTGAGTACATTGGCAAGCAGTACCGTTACTTCACCACGCCGAAGGGTAAGTTGCTCTCACGAGATGCAAATCGCTGTTTCATCGGAATCTAATGACTTTTCTAGGTCTCAGAATCATGGCGTTTGGCGTTCTCTTCGACTTCACCGGAAACTCGAATGCTTCAGTCGTTACTAAGGCCGCAGCCATGGTCAAGCAGCCCTGGTTCCTGAGCGCTGTCGATTACAGCGAGCCTGTTGATCTTTACCTGGTCATCGGCCACAACCCTGTCCGACCTACTCAGAGCAGCAGCACGCTGAAGACCGTCTTCGACGCGATCCGAGCCATCAAGCCAGACACGCCGGTCCAGTTCTTCGGTGGCCACACCCACATCCGTGACTTCGCCGTCTACGATGACAAGTCGACTGCTCTCGAGTCCGGAAGGTACTGCGAGACTCTGGGTTTCCTTTCCATGTCCGGGATCAAGTCCGACAACTATAAGGGCGCGGTGTATCCCAAGGGCGTCCCTCATCCTGCCCAGAAGGCGGTTGCTGTGGCCACGACAACGTCCTCTAGCAGCCCTGCCTCTGCGACTGGCAACTCCACCATGACCTACTTCCGTCGCTACCTGGACTGGTATGATCAAAACAGGACTGAAGCCTGCAAATTACTAACAGCTTTCCCAGGAACACTCTGACGTTCGAATACCACGCCGTCGGCAGCCAGGTCAAGGCCTTCAATACGTCCAAGGGCGTCAGCATAACCAAGGAAATCACATCCGAGCGCAAGAACCTCAACCTGACGACTCTTTACGGCTGCGCTCCCCAGACTTGGTGCATCGATTGTGCGCCTTTCATGTCTGAAGGATCCATGTTCAACTTGACAACCACTGCTCTTGCAGCCACGATCGTCACCGAAGAGAGGAAGGCCACTCCGAGAATCGTCATCGCCAACACTGGCCATATCCGATTCGACCTCGCCCAGGGCCCCTTTGACTACGACTCCTCATTCATCGTATCTCCCTTCACCGACGCCTTCGAGTACATCCCCGACGTTCCCTGGTCGTATGCCAGCCAAATTCTTAGCAATTTGGAGTCCGGAGCCTTCCCTTCAAAGAGGAGGCGTTCCTTGACCAAGGATTCATTTGGCTTCAGCAAAATAAACCCTGCTCTGTCTTCTGTGGACAGCTGCATTGACCCACCAGTCACCAACGACCACTTTGCGAAGCGATCTTATGCTGGAGGCCGTATCGTTCGTCGCCAGGACATTACTCCGGGTTACACCACATCCGATGATTTCGGCACCGACGGCGACGACACCGTCCACAGCGAGATTCCGGTCTACGACTATCCCAACTTCTTCCAGGCCAACGGCAGCTTCCCTGCCGACGGCTCGATTTCAGATGATACCAAGATCGACCTGATCTTTCTGGACTACATTGCTGGTTCGGTCGTGACTGTTTTGCAATCTTTGGGAGCCAACTACACTTCTGCTGATGTTTCCTACTACCTCCCAAGCGTAAGTTCAATTTCGTGGCGTGATTGATCCTTGGAAGGAGAACCGAAGACTAACGTATTACTAGACATTCACGACCAACTCCTACTTGCCTAAGTATGCAAAGGAGAGTGCTGCCTGGCAGGCTAATATGCCCAATTGCCCAGTCGGACTTGGAATTGGATACAATACTACGGCCATTTGAAATTGGCGACAGAGATTGCAAACGACCTTCATTGATGACAGGCTCCTCATGCAAGAGACCTAAGGTGGCGGCAGGCACGCGGCATAGCCTGAGGAAGTTCGCCCTGAAACTCTATTGGGTGAACCTGTCTATATCATCTCGACTTCATAAATATCGATTTAAAACTTGGTCCTTTAGCGAAATGATTATTATCTATTCCATCGTCATACAGCGCTGCATTTCATCTTTAGGCCTAGTTACGGACCAACCAAGTACATAGACCTACCGAATCTTGCACGTCACACATTTCTGACTCTACGAAGATACATTCCCGCGGCAACCGGGGGTTCTACGTTCCTCACTGCGCAGCGGTTGGCATCGCCCTTGACGACACGGGTGCTCACCAATGATAAACACCCGAGAGAAACACATCTCCACCCGCATCTGCGGTTGGGCTTATGATTGTGAAGTTGGTGGGTGGCTGTGCAGGGACGATTTGATAGGACGGCTGATGCTTCGCCTCCTCACTTCATCGTCCACATCATAGGACGTTCCAGATTGGTGAGACAGCTGATCGATTGTGACTGTGAGGGGTTGTCAGCTTTTCTCTACTCGCCTCACAACATAATTCTTGCAAATTTTCTCTTCCCGCAACTTCACTCATTCCAATCACCGCACTTTCGGCTTTGCATGATAACCCAAGGCCGCGCGGTGAAAACAATGCCGAACCTCGGCGACTACACGATCGGTTGGATCTGTGCCGTTACCACGGAATTTGTTGCTGCTCGGGCATTTCTGGACGAAAGCCATGACAAGCCAGAAGGAGTAGCACAGAACGATGACAACAACTACGCCCTTGGTACTATGGGAAAGCATAATGTTGTGATCGCCGTTCTTCCTAAGGGGGAGTATGGTACCACTACAGCGGCGACTGTTGCAAGAAACATGGTGCACAGCTTTCCAAATGTCCGCATCGGTCTCATGGTTGGTATCGCCGGCGGCGCTCCCAGTGAAAAGCACGATATCCGTCTCGGCGACATCGTCGTGAGCAGTCGAAGCGGCAACAAGGGCGGTGTCTTTCAATATGATTATGGAAAGACGATACAGAATGGCTCGTTCGTGGAAACAGGGTGTCTCAATCAACCGCCCCAAGTACTACTAGCCGCAGTGAATGGACTTGAGTCCGATTACATCATATACGGCCATCAACTTGATTCTAAGGTGGAAGAAACCCTTGAACGTTACCCACGTCTACGCAAATCACACTCTCGTCCACCCGCACAAAGCGACAGGCTTTATCAACCCCACACAACGCATCCTCCAAACTCAACATCGGACTGTCTACAAGCTTGTAGCAATGATCCGAACGAGTTGGTCCCTCGACACGAACGAGGCGTGTATGATGACAGCCCAGCCATACACTTCGGGCTTATTGCTTCTGGGAACCAAGTGATGAAGAACGCACATATCAGGGATCAACTAGCAGCTGAAAAAGGAGTATTGTGTTTTGAAACGGAAGCGGCAGGCCTGATGAATCACTTTCCGTGCCTAGTAATTCGTGGTATTTGCGATTACTCGGACACCCACAAGAATAAGTCCTGGCAAGGTTTCGCTGCCATGATTGCCGCGGCTTATGCGAAAGACCTCTTAGGTCAGATTTCGTCGACCAGGGTTGAGATGGAAACAACACTGGCAGAGAAGTTGCAATCTAGTTAGCAACCACGCTATCACACCCTCTATCGTGCTTTCTGACATAGTGTATTAGTTGAGGTGAACCAGGTTCATCATTTCGACGTCCTAAATAAAATAAACACAGCAGTCATCGAGACGAAACATAACCAGCACGTTGCCGATGTAAAAGCTTGGCTGGCACCTCCGGGTTCATCTACCAACGCGGACCGTGCTAGAGGGCTTCGTCATGAAGGCACTGGGAAGTGGCTTCTCCATTCCAGACCCTTCAGAGAGTGGGCATACGGACCACGTCAACATTTATGGTTATACGGGATGCCAGGTTGTGGGAAGACCGTTCTGCTAACAACAGTCTACGATCATATCAAACAAAAGTCTGATCAGATTGCGCTTCATTTCTTCTTCGATTTTGGCGATGAGCGGAAACAAACATTGGAGAGCATGCTGCGGGGACTCATTTTCCAACTTTACACACTTCCAACTCCAGCAACTTCGGAAGTTGATAACCTTTTCGAGGGGTATAACCAAGGTCGGGATCAGCCTGATAGCAGTGCTCTATCCATTTGTCTACAACAGATTCTCAAAAGTTCAGGCAAGGTCTGCATTTTTATCGATGCCCTTGACGAGTGCTCTGAGAGAGAGGAATTGCTCGGGTGGCTGAAAAGCATCACCGCTGTCTCTGATTTTGATCACCTCAAGCTCATCATGACTGCTCGGCCTGAAGCGGAGTTTGATCAGCAACTGCCTTTCCTGATACAACAAAGTAGCTGCATTTCACTGCAGACGGAGTTAATGAACGCCGACATCCAGTCGTATGTCCAAAGCAGCTTGGAGGAGAGGCCCGGTTTCAAGAAGTGGATCTCAGTTCCATCAATGCTCCAACGAATAAGCCTTGAAGTTGGCAGTAAGGCTGAGGGAATGTAAGTGAATTCCGCGAAGTGAGATGATTTATCGGGCGGTGTTTCTTACTACATTGCAGGTTTCGGTGGGCAGCCTGTCAATTAGATAGTCTCGAACAATGTATCGACCGAGAGGAAATCGAGATCGCCCTGAGGTGCATGCCACGGAACCTTCACGACACATATGAGCAAATTCTCAGAAAGGTTCCCGACAATCGGAAAGAAAAATCAATACGCCTCCTTCAATTTCTCGTTTTCTCGTCGAGCCCTTTGACTCTCGAGGAAGCTGTGGATATTGTAGCCATTCGCCCCGAAGGCTTCAACTTTGAAGATAGAGTTTTCGTCCCCGGGGATATCTTGCAGTTGTGTCCTGGATTGATATCCATCCAAAGCAGTGGACTAGCACACAGGGAACAGTATGAAGTCCACCTGGCTCACCTTTCAGTCAAGGAGTACCTGCTCAAAGTCCATGAAAGCTTTCGGCCGATTTGCGCACCGATCAGTATCTTGCGTTCACTTTTCTCGTATATCTGGAGTGCCAGAAAGTTCATTTTTGAATATTTGAGACGGCCTGACTTTGATTACATCAGTGATCACATCATTCTTAGAGGTGGTCTTGCTTTGACAGAGTTTCCCTTACTACAATATTTTGAGCAGAGATGGGTGGATCTTCTTCGCCTTGCTGAAGAGCCGGATGATCTCGTGGAGGAAGCAGCGGACATTCTGCATGATTTCGTTGGATATGAACTTACTAGAGGTTGGAAATCACTTTTCTCATTTGCGGATTCTGAAACCGTGTATCGAAGGGCTCTGTGCTTTGCGTGCTACAACAAACTGGAGAAGACGGCAAGATCTTTGATTCGACAACACGCCTACGTTGAAGCGGCTGGCGACTTCACAGACGCTCTGCGAGCTGCATCTTACTCAGGCCTTCTTCATATCGTCCTAGAGCTCCTAGACTTGATACCAGAGTCCGACAAACAACACGAGATACTTGGTGGCGCTCTGAAGGCCGCTTCAGCAGGAGGAAATTACCAAGTTGTACGGCGACTCTTGGATTACGGGGCACTTCTTTGCAGCTGCGAGAAAGGTTATGGCGACACCTTCGCCGTAGTAGGAGCTGCACGAAGAGGGTTTTGGGAGGTTGTCAAGCTGTTCTTAGCGAGCGGTTCAGACGTCAACAGATGCGGACATATCGTTATGATAAATGGAGATGGAGACAACGCTTTGAGAGCAGCATCTATACGTGGGCACTGGGACATCGCCAAACTACTTTTAGAGAACGGGGCAGATGTCAACGCTCAGACTATCAGTCCAGTTACCGGGGCTACGGCTCTCCAGGCAGCCTCGAGCGCTGGACACTTGGATATGGTCCAGCTCCTTCTGGAACATGGAGCAGAAGTGAATTTGCAGAGTTTTCACAATAACGCCTTGGCAGTTGCAATACGCAGACGTCAAAGTGAAAAGGCGATTGTGCAGCTCCTTCTCGCACATGGCGCCATTATCAACGCACACGAAACACATACTTCGGAGCACATTCAAGATAACGACAGACCTCTTTGGGCTGCGGTCGCTGCAAATCGTCCAGACCTGGTGCAACTGCTACTGAATCACGGTTCAGATTACGATGGCTCAAGCATCATGAGAAAGCCTGTACTCCCCGTCTCCGGCTCTGAGTTGTCTGTCAAGCGCTATCAAGATACTTTACAACTACCCGCTGAGAGGGGAGCCGATCCCAACGAACTGGGCTGCGAGGGATATCCGATATTATATCAGGCTGTTAAATCAGGTTACTTGGAGATCACAAAAATACTCGTACAAGCTGGCGCAAATCTCAACCCGGCACAATTTGGGTTCAGCAAGATGGTCACCTTGGCTTTTGATCAGGATAACTACGAAATTGCGTTATACTTGCTGCAGGAGGGTGTAGGTCTTGCTACTCCACATGAAGATGGTTATTTGAAAGACCGAATACCTCTACTCTTTCTAGACTGGGCAGCCGACTCTGCCACGGATATTCCGGACATCGCAGAGCTCTCTGTGGAAATATGTAAACTGCGTGGCCTTAGCCCCGCAGAGAAGCTGACGAGAATGAATATTGAGCTGAATAATCCCGAGTTATACTCGATCTACAGATCAAGTGGTCAATATCGACGCGAGATATACAAAAGGTCACCACCGATGTAATACCGCCTGCACCACATTCAATGCTTTGGTTAAAAGCTTCGAGAAACGGGAGACAGTGAACAGAAGCCTTCAAGGCTCAGGAGGGCATTCTTAGTTGTTACGAAGAGCCGTTGCCGGACCTAGAGGAGCGGAAGACTTGGTTGGGAAGTGAACAGTCTAACTTCGTCATTCAGCAGAACCAAAGTCCTATCCCATGGAAAACCTCCCAAAGTGAGAATTCTTAGCTTTTGCTACGGCTGGTGCCTTTCTTTCTATCAATTCCTTTTTTGTGACATCCGCAAGCCGTCTACCAGGGCAGGTGAGTGGATAACTATACAGCCTTTCCATTATCCGATCGCTGACCTCGCGGCTGGCACATGCTGGCGGAGCCAACTTCGAGCCCTGAGGATTCATTCCCACAACAAATCTGTTGCTCCCAACTGTGAATGACGCTTTCATCACTCGTCCATCCATGTTAGTGGCCATGACCGGGCGCGGTGTAGGGTTATCCTCGCTCTGGAAGCCGATGTGCCGCCCAGTCGTCGTCATGGCCTCGCACATGACCGGCAGCTTGTCCCGCCATTGTTTGACCGGGATCCCCACACCCTCAAATGCCGACATCTTGTCCGGTACTTGCATGTGCTTAAAGCCAGCTTTCTTGTTACCTTCCTCCGGCCAGAGATTGCCTGGACAGATACTCGCCGGCTGGGATAGAAAGTTCGTTTGTTGCGGGAAGATGCCATGCCCGCATGGTCTTCTTGGGGGTAATCTTGTGACCGTCTCGTTGAATATTGTTGATTACTCTCTTAGTGGACTTCCATTGCCTAAAAGTACGGGTTCAGTGAGTTGGTTGTGCTATAGTCCTTGAATGGACTCACTGGTAAGACTTGGTGAAGCGGTAATAACATAACTTTGTCGAAAAACCGTAGGTACTATGTGGAAAAGTAGAGAAGTAGAGAAGTAGAGAAGTAGAGAAGTAGAGAAGTAGAGAAGTAGAGAAGTAGAGAAGTAGAGAAGTAGAGAAGTAGAGAAGTAGAGAAGTAGAGATAAATGAAATATATGAGGACTGCCTTACTTCCTTGATTTCATCTCTGTAATGTTATTAGATTGGGATTCCTTGAATCCTGTAAGATATACTTCTATCAACCCACACCGAGCTTGTCGACCTACTTTGGAAGACCGTCTGAAATCGTTGTGACAACTCTAACCGCCTGCAGCAACTCGTTGGGACTGTCGGCTTGACGACAGGCTATGGCGGCCTAGGCCATCACTTTCCAGGGGATACGCGCTGCTGGCGCGGTTGATTTCTTCGACACAGGCCCTTGTCAACGCCAAAATGTTCTGTTGGAAATTAGCGGTGATATCGTTGTGGATGGGGAATTCTAGTCACATCGGGTCTTTGTTGGCCTGACTATCGTCCAGGTTCCTGAAGAATGTCCTCTCCGAGAGGCCCATTACTGTCTCTGGGTTCTGTTGGAACTTGCCGCCATGATCGGGAGGATTTATGTTGGCAGTCTGGTCAACCTGTATAAGTAGATATCGCAGTTCACACAATACTATTTTCACTGTACTTCAAACCCAATAGCAGCACTTTGACCTGTGCCCGATCTCAATGAAGCAAACAAACAAAGCTCGGTATAACTGGTCGTTGACGCTCGGCTTAACTTATCCATTGGGAGGACTAAAATTAGCGCGCGCGACTCACTTCATCCCCGGATATCTCAGAATATCAGAAATATTTCCTTTCATCGTTGGCGAAGTCGGAATAATCCCGGCTGGTGAGCTACCCCTGTCAGTGAAAAGAAGAGCCGTTGGCGCTTCAATGACTCCATAGCCACGCCTCAGCCCCAATGACCGAATACTAATACATACCACATTCCCCGCAGGAGGAGGTGTTTTCAGATCTGCATATTTCGTCTCAATCAACTCATCACCATTTTTCACAATGGCTGACACCGCCTCACTGAAAGCTCTTATACTACTTACTCTATCCCAATCTACGACGATTCACTTCTCCTTAGAAACATCTTACGGCTTGGTGTTAGAGTATCAATCCGGCAAACGGCTGTGCTTCCGCCTCAAAGATTCTATAACAGCATCACATACGCAACTACCAACCCAGTCTCATTCGGAAGGTCTGGAATACGAGGCCTCGTCCGGAGCTAAGCCGCTAGGTGGACCAGATTCACGCCCCGACGACTTGTCCAAAGCCCGACTCGATTCTGTTGGTCCAGGCCAACAACCCAACCAGTCTGGCTACCGCTACCTGATCGACCCAGACTATGGCACCTCCGCCTTGTGTATCGTCCAAAATGGCCTGGTAACCCCGAGGGCGAGTTTCACATTGACCTTTGGAGTCTAAGATATCGATATTCCTCTGCTTGGATCGAAGCCTTTGAGAAGTGGCAAAGGCTATGGACGGAAGCTTTCAAGGCCCAGGAGTGCCATCTCGGTTCTCATAAGAAGCCGTTTCCGGATCTAGAGGAGCGGAAGACTTGGTTCGTGGAGGGTGCGCTGCTAGCGGCTTGGCTTGTGCTGCAGGACGATGTTGACCAGGTGGCTTACGACCTGGATGATGGAATATTTGAGCTGCGGCGCGATGATCTGGAGGAGACCTTGGCAGGGATGCTCTACGATTTGACCGATGGTTTGAATATTAAAGAGGAGTCGGATTCCGACTAGATCCTAGCCGCTGTTTCTTGACACAACAATATCGCACTGCCTGGTTCCAAGGTTCGCTCGCGAGAAACGCTGTGCTTCTTTCGTAGCTGAACGTATACGAAGAATAGGAATGAGATTTATGGTCAAGGTTTTCAATGATTAAACAAATAAAAGTCTCACCAAAAATCGAGACTTCTCAAAATAATACACAGAATGTTGTGAAACTCCTAATTAATCTAATACTTATACATATTCTGTTATAAACTCGACTCCGTTACTCTCAAAAAGCTCCCGTGCCTCTTCCAAATCGTCTAGAACAGAAACACGCACCGATCTCAAGTGCGGGAACTCGACTTGACAAACCCTCCCAAGTTCAAGAATCGCCGGCAGAAGGGTCCTCGTGCTACATGTGGAATAACCGCACTCGATTCCCACAAGTCTGATTGAGTCCGGCAGCATGTTCACCAGCATCCGCGTTTCCATGTCTGTCTCATCTTCTTCGTAACAAGGGACCACGAGATATTGCGCGTCGAGACGCAGCTCTTGCAACTGTTCCAACCCCTTCAAAGACCTCATCATATCTTCATCGGTAATGCCATCGTCTCGGTAGTATGAATTATCGTCTTCGAGCATCACAAGCTTCAGAAACTTCAATCGTGGAGCGTGCTTCAGAATGGCCTCTTGCACATCGCGCGCCCTTGGAGGTGTTTCTCCATCCATAATGCCGGCGTCTCCACCATAATAAGTCAGCTTTTCCAGGCTTGGGAGTTGTTTCAGTAGTCGATTGAATGCGTCGATCTGGAGGAAGCTGTTCCGAAGAGTGATTTCTGTAACATTCGCCATTTTCAAGCCCATACCGACCTCGATCACGGCGTATGCAAAAACTGATGTAATGTTTGGTGCAGCAAGGAAGATCTCCGTCGCATAAGCGAGATCAAAACCACCGTTGTCATCCCAGTGTGATAGGGAGAGTCTCTTCAGATCCCGCAGAGATCCTGGAGGGCAGAATGGTACGGGGTCGTAGTATCCGTTCCAGGTGACGGTGAGACATAGGTCCTCGATATTGGCGCACTTGCCGATGAGCAGGCTCAGAAGCATTGATTCGTCCTCCTTGGGTTCGTCTTGTGATATGCGCAAGTGATCGAGTTGGGTCGTCACTTCTTTGAGAACTAGTTCATCGTTTCCAGATGTGAAGGTGAGCTCATCGTCCGAGCCCAGGTGTAGCGACTTGACATGCTGTGTGAGATCCGGACGCCATTTGAATAGTGTTCTCGCAAACGCGATCTCGTTCCTCCGGTGGAATCGATGATACAAGATCGGCGTGGCAACTGAGTTCAGCGGTTTATTCGTCAGGCAGAGGTTGGCAAGCGTAAGACGTCTCTCATGCTCGGGTCTACCGATTGGACAGCTGTCGTTGCAGTACATGCCCCAATAAGTTGATGACGAACGAGGAGGATGGCAATGCGGGCAGAATAGCGCGAATATCCTCTCTAGAATGGAAGCTGATAACTCAGAAATAGGAGGAGGCATGATGGGGTGGTGTCGTTGAAATGGCTGGCTGAGTCGATAGTGTCGAGAGATGTATACCAATTGTTAAGATAAAGGTTCCAAGAGAATGATGCAAAGATCGCAGCTGAAACCTGCAGTATTTGAGGCGCGGTATTCAGTGCAAAATCCACGATGTACTACCAGCTGCCTCAGCTGTGATTTTCACATCGTGATGTTGTCCTTGTGTGTCGTCTGGTGCAAAACGGTATCCCCTGACGCACGGTACCTAGGCTGCATAGGCAGCAGGCCAGGATCGGCTGAACGGGAGAATTCTGAGTGGTATAAAACTGTGGGATTATAGGGCTGCTTGACCGCATTTAGAACAACCGGAATGTCTCAAGTAATGCCAGAAGCTGCGAAAGTTAGGCCGGTTGGTTGAACCACATCGCTTGCCGGTCTGGCTAATGTGCATCTCCAAACTCTAAATTACAGAGCGACTTCCCGGGCTAGGCAGCCGCTGAGGGGTTTCGTCTCGTTTGAGCGGTCCTGACGGTTGCCGTACCCTCGGTGCGCGAGTCAAGCAGACAGGAGATACGACCGCCGGGGCGACACGGTGGAGTGCCTGAGCAGTCACCCACACAGGCTGTTGCTTCAATGGATGAAGAACTTTGTCCTTGCCTCAATACCCGGATTATCTCCTCGTTCTCACTTGCCCAATGAAGAACCGCAAAATCACCAACTACTCTGCTGTACTTTCATATCAAGAAACTGCACAGATCCAGAGGCCACTGATTCCTTGCGTATGGTGGACTTTATTTGCTACGGGTAACGGCGAACGATAAGTACAAAGGAGAAACTTCCCTCAAATATTTCGGCCTGTTTCACAAATCCAAGTCCAAGAGGCTAAGGCTAGAGGAGCTGTAGAGACGCTTCATGCTTTATAATGCATCTCTTAACCACTTCAATTATTTGCATTCCCAGCAAACTCGGCGGAGCCATAACATCACCGTCCGTGCCCACCGCACTCTTCCCCGCTTCGCTTCTCGGTCTGGCCTCCGAGCTTTGAAGGCCTTTCGGCGTCAGCACTCCGAGCCCCGACCGTCGTAGCCCACGCACGCACTAGAACCGGCGCCATAGGACCGAATCGCGAAACAAGCGTGTTGTAATCCCACTTCTCAACCAAACCCACTGATGGTCGTCTATCGGCCGAGGGAACGTCGGCTGATTGGTTTGGATGGTATCATTGAAGGTGCGTCCTGACGGTCGACGGATCTCGGGCGTTATTTGACCTGGAGATAGCTACACCGGACTTTTCTAATTCTGGCAACAGCTAGGAGTTTGATTATGACGTGGTGTGCAACCTGAGGTGACGAGAGTTGCAGAACTATGTATGGACGACCGTTAAAGGTCCACATTCAAGACTTCTGAACTTGACGTAAATTCGCCTCGGCCTTACCTCTTCGCAATGATACCAGCCAACATTTCCTTGACGCCCTCTTCAGACAATGGCTGTATCCCTAATAGTTGGTTTTCAGTCTCTCCATACTGGTTCCCAAGCCCATCACCGAATGCGCCCTTCACAGCATACGCGTGGAAAACACCCATCTTGGACCCGTCCACCGTAGCCTGTGCGGCAAGATGCTTCTCAAGTTCGTCCAGGTGAACCTGTTCTTCGTGCCATTCTCCCTCCGAAATGACTTGTTTCGCATGACCGAGTATCTCCTTCTGGGACATGATTGCTTCGTGGATGTAAACGGGCTGATTCTTGGTCTCTTCTGAGTGCTCCAGGACGGCGACAACTGCTCTCGCCGCAGTTGGCATCGTGATCATAGAGACCGACCGTTCCCCTCCATTGTACAAACGCGCTTTTCGCTCTTTGAGGTCAAGGACAACTCCGGTCTCGATTGACAAGTCGATGAACACGTTGTTGTAGATGTAAGTGTAAGTTATGCCGTGCGACCTTGCCTCCTGTTCTAAGTATTCTTCCACTTGAACCTTATGTTTGTAGTTCGGAAACTTTCGTATTTGAGGATCTTGTAGGTTCGATCCGAATTCAGATGGAATGAATCTCTTGACGCCGGCGGTGGCGGCTGCGTCGATCAATGGGATTTGAAGCGGAATTGCCTCTCTTGAGAGTGCGCTCACGACAGCATCCTGGCCCACTAGCGCCTTGACAATACTCTTTTCATCGTTGTAGTCGACCATGGCTAGATTTGCACCGAGGCTGGCGTCAACTCCTTGTCCCCTACTCAATATAGTGACATTGAATAGACCAGATTGGATCAGTTCTTTCGAGATCAGAGAGCCGAGAAGACCGGTACCCTACTCCTGGTCAGCCACAAGCCCTATTGCAGCATTCTCTCTTTTCATTCGACTTCTTACACCGATGACTGCAACTTTTCGGATTTCTTGGTTGATGGGGGCCAAGGTCGCTACTTGAGACTCAATTTGATGTGCTTGGGCAAGTAATTATCTGTGCAATTTAGTGATTTCAACAAGTTGTCATCAATATCTGAGGCATTCCTTGTCTAGCATGACCTTAAATAGAAGCCGAAGACTCAGTCGGCCGCCGGTCTGAAATACGCGTGGGCTGTATCCACTTCGGCAAGTTCGCCAGACCTATCCGAACGGCAGTCAGGGACCTCACAAGTACCTAATTACTAACTCAGAGTCACCTTGATGTTCTTATTATGGAATGCGGAAAGGCAAGTACTCCGTCAAGTGAAAGTAGTTTCGATATTCTCTAGGAGATATGTGATAATCTATTTGAACACGACCTTGTTGGAAATGGATCCGATTCCGCTGATTTCAACGTCAACTACGTCCCCGTGACCCAGCAAACCGTTTGAAAACCAGCCAACGCCATTGGGTGTGCCAGTCATGACAACTGTCCCTTGTTTGAGAGTGCGGTTCTTCGACGCGTAAGCAATCAGCTGCTTGACGCTAAAGATCATCTCCCCTGTCTTAGTATCCTGCCTCTTTTCTCCGTTGACTGTGGTTACCAGATGGAGTGCTTGGGGGTCGGGAATCAGCTTTGTAGAAGTGATACAAGGGCCGATCGGGCCGAAGGTATCAAACGACTTGGAATGGCCCATCTGGTTTCCCGAGATCTCCACTGGGACTAGACTTCTCGCAGAAACGTCGTTGCCGACAGTGTACCCTAAAACATAATTGAGAGCGTCCTCTTCCTTGACATCCTTTGCATCTTTAGACAACACGAAGACTAGCTCGCCTTCGTAATCCAACATCGGTTGCGCATCATCGTGGGCGATAATGTCATCGAGGGGACCGGTGAGCCTTTCAGCTGGCGTCATGAAGATGACGGGCTTGGTCGGGATGACAAACTGTCTAGACGTGTCAGTGATGCTTTCAATCTCGAAATTACCGGTGAAAACAACTCGTACGTTTGTCTCATTGGAGTGGAGCTTGTAGTTAAGACCAGCACACAGTACGGAAGGTGCTTCGGGAATTGGATTAAGCAACTGTTGGATCACAGCGTTAACCTCCCACAACCTCAATTGGTGAAAGTGCACTCCTGACCTCTTTGACTGTGCGTTTCTCGTTTGTCTTAGTAAAACCGTGCTGTAAGGTTCCAACCACAACAGTGACCTGGGTCCCGATTATCTCCTTGGCCGCCAGGGGCTTGTCCAAGTCGCCGTACGATGTCCTGCCTTCCTCATCCACAAAACGAATCAAACGGTCAAATGACATGATAAGATTTTGTTCTCTTGATCAGGTGAGCTTGTAAATTAAGAGTAAAACTTGTGTTTGTAGGTAACTCTGGAGATGAGCCAAAATAAACATTGCAGCTTTTGAAGAGTACTCCTTGGGGGTACTTGCTCATATGCTAAAGTCAACCGATCATTCCGGAGTCCTACGTGAAAACCCAAAAGCCCTGCAGAAAGGAAATCGCGTTCTCGGAGAATTTGAGCGACGGCTCTAGCGGGTGCCGGGCCTTGGGGATGGAAAGACCGAGACCAATCAACGCGTGCAGGGACTAGTCTGCTCGGCATCCGTCTCCCCGTTTCGACGCCGTGGAGACGATTTAAATCCTGTGTGATCATGAAGGAACTTCACCAAAAGTCGCCCATGGGCTCCGGACCTCTCTCCGAATTGCCACCTTAAGAATCTTCTCCATTGTTTTTCATTATCGTGGCCATGGCGTCTCCACTTCCTAAGAGAATCAACCTCAAGAGCCTGATGTATGTATGGTACACACATACGAACATCGACACGGCGGACAAATTTCTCACCGACTTTGGCCTCATACGAGTGAAGGCAATGCCAAACAAGATTTGGTATCGCGGCTTCGGTGAAAGCCCGACCTGCTACGTATCCGAGAAGTCCGCGGACGGCAAGCCAGTATTTCTTGGCGGTGGGTGGAGTGTTGACACGTATGACGACCTGAAAGCTGCAGCTCAATTACCAGGCGCTTCTCCCATTTCCAAGGCCGAAGATGCCATAGGAGGCGAAAAGGTCACCCTGACCGACCCTGCGGGGGGCTTGGTCCACCTTCACTGGGGTCATCACGAACGCAAGACCGCCCAAGACGAGGTGCCAAAGAAACTGACCTACAACACTTGGGACATAAAGTCTCGGAAGGGGGAGTTTCAACGCTTCGACGACGGGCCCAGCGATATTCACAAGTTGGGACACTATGGTTATGAAGTCAGCCATGACGATTTTGAGAAAGTCCGTCAATGGTACTTCGATACTCTCACCCTCACAGCAACAGATTCCCTGTTCAATCCTCAAAACGGAAAGGACGTCATGACATTTATGCACCTTGACAAAGGTGAACAATATGTCGATCATCACGCAAGTTCCAATCATACATCTTCGACATACTGGCATTGACTGTTTTCTAGAGCTTTTTCGTCTCTGCTGGGGATGTCACGGCCTGCACTGCAAACCACTGCAGCTTTGAGGTCGACGACTTCGACAGCGAGATGAAGGGTCATAACTTCCTATCGAAAAAGGGATGGTCACTCGTTTGGGGCATAGGCAAACACTTACTTGGAAGCCAAATCTTTGACTACTGGTTCGACAACGACGGATTCGTGCTGGAGCACTACGCGGACGGAGATCTGGTGAATTGCAACAATCCACCCCAGCGAGAGCCGGCTTCGCCTAACAACATCGCCATGTGGGCGCCTATGTTGCCGCTTGCGTTTCTTACTCGAAACAAGGAGGACATGGGAAAGACTCTTGGGCCACCACCGGGGGCAGAGGGGCCCCCAGCTACAGTCCCATCAGTATAGCTACATTAGATCACAAGTACAGACGCTCATCTCACTCTGGAATGAGTTTGATTTATTTTGACTAGCCTTCCCCTTTTCGTAATCATTCAGAACTCTGTACCACACACTAATGCTTTGTGACCCTCGACCTCACCTGATGCCCGTCAGCTTCAACCTGGACGGAATGCAGAGCTTATAAGCTCAGGGTTTGCAGTAATCTTCAAGGTACCCAGGTTCCAGAGCTTGATCATACATCGCATACAAATGGTTCCTGTATTCTCTTTGGTTCAATCGATTTCATCATACGTTCCACTAATCACGAAAGTTGCATCAGCATTGAAAGGTGTCGCATTGCTTCGTGCGAGACAGGGAAGCTTCCATCGAATCAATGAGGCTGACGACCTCCGAACATTCTACGGATCACTTGTTACATCTTTTGATGAACGTGGGAAGGCAGTTCAAACCGAACATGTGGGGGTTATGCAGAATCTATAAATCTAAGGACATGATACAAATGAGCGAATGCATGTCAGATCTTTATTGCTACTGAATACGTATGCCCGCAGAAGTGCCCTATTACTCTTGGACCAAGGCATCGCGACGATTATCGTTAAGAGATGTAATGCTTCAGTTCTCATACTACTGTGCGCGCAGTACTTCCTCCAAAGGATCCAGATCCATGTTCCCCTAAAGTCGAGACGATGTCAGTAGATACCCGACGCACATAACATGAAGGCTGTCACCTACATAGACCTGCCATTCGGCCAACTCTTTCTTCCACACCTCCTCGATCAATGACTTTCTCTCCGATCTGACCTTCAAGCTCAGCGGAAGCCTGCTCCCAGGAACTCCCGGAAGTTCTTTCTCCATGTAGTCGTCAGGGTTTAACGGCAATGGGGTGCCGGGGCGAACCCCAATGTCAAAGGCCCATAGCGTTCGCATGATAGCCACGGCAAATGATCTTTCGGCAACTTGTACACCTGGGCCTGGAAAACGTCATGAGTTTGTGAGCCTGAAGGGAACAAAAGGGGATGCAAAGCCCCAAAGGGTAAGTGCTCACAAAACCGGCGGCCAACTCCGAATGCAAAGTGGTCTCTTTGGGTGGCATCAGGTAGGTTCGCAGATTGCTGGGTCTAGATATCGCGTGCGTGTCAGGTTTGGCTCAAATTCCCGTGTGATGTCGGAGAGCAATAGCAAATGACTAGATCAACTCACTGACAATTCGTCGCCCTCCCAGCGTTCTGGTCTGAATGTATCGGGATCCGGGTGACGCTTGGGATCTCGACCAATCGCCCTGGTGACGGAAAGTCAGCATTAAAACCTTTCTACCTTGACGTGCCAAGGCATTCCTGATGACTGGAGATGGATGGAAGTCACTCAACATACCAAATGTTTGGTCGAACAGTAGAGCCTGCAGGGATGACATAGTCTTCGTAGGCAATGTCGGCGGTGATACGATGTGCGAGCGCATTTCCAACAGGCGGGCGCATTCGCCAAGTTTCTTTCATGAGATATCTTACGTATGGTATCCGTTCGATGTCTCCCCAAACTGGCAGTCTGTCTCCTACAGCATCGTCTGTGATGGATAGTCAGTCAAGGCTCGCAGCAACTCCCCAATCACGGTATTCTGAGCTTTTTGCTCTTCGGAAAATACGAACCTATCAACTTTCTAGCGTGCAGCTGAACGTGAGGATTCATCATCATCTGCTCGAGGAACACCCATGTGCTCACGCGGCTCTACAAACAATTATCTTTCTGCATGATAGTGACATGGCTATGCCGATTAATACTTACCGTGTCTGATGCGGCCGCTATCAATTTGAGGGCAACATAGGCAGCCTCAATTTCACTAGCACCAGACTTATCTGAACTAGTGAGAACGCGTGTCATGAAGGAATCTGGAGCTGATCCGGAATTGACAAGCTTCTTAGCGTACTGGCCTATTCATCAGCATTACGCAAAACAGGAACCGAGAGAACCATGGAGGAACATTCTTTCTTACGTTCATCCGGTTCTGGACAAATTCAACGTCAGAATCGTGTCGTTTGATCCCATTCTTGGCCCATGGCTTCAAAGCCAGGGGCAGGTAATCGAGCGCCGTGAAGATGTCGGCGATGTAGAAACCAGAGATTGTCGCTAGTTAAGGTCTAAGTGAGCCTTCGTGAAGCTGCAAATGGATGGGAGTTGACTATACATGTTATCTCATCGATGGCACTTTCTGACAAGAGGTGAGTTAGCGTCTGCAGCTTAACCACGTTGTGCGTAAAACGATAATTTACCAAAAATGTATTTGCTTGCTGCACTATCAGGTGACGTTATCTGTGATGAACCGCTATTAGTAGAATGTAACTCCTTGCATCTTGCTCTAACTGACCTCGAGCCCGTAAAGCTGGGATGTGAAAGTGCTGTAAACATAGCGCCCAATGCTATCCCACAAATTTGTCTGTTTCTCTGTGCCTGCATCTGGATCTTGCGCAACCTGATGTAGAAACTTCAGCGTTTCGTGATACAAGAATGGCAGACCAGCATCGGCCCGCTGGACGCTAGTGAGATTCTGAAGTGCTATTTTCCGTTGCAACTGTGGAGGTATGACACATCAGTAAATGTGTTGTATCAATTGCCAGATTCATGAATATCTAACCTTCCATCGGGGATTGCTGGCATCCAAAAGATCCATGCTTTCATAGTTGGTGATGTACTTCTGTCCAACAAGCCAGGCGGGCCGCTCAGATGAGATGGCTGCATTCTTTTGAAATATCGCGGCACAGGCGCGGTCAGAATTGATGACATACTCGGTGTTGGGCCCAAGAACGACTCGGATGATCTCGCCATGCTCTCGAGCCCACTCAATCATCCTGAGATGTAGCAGGCCGCCCGCACTCATAACGTCCATGAGATTTCCCAGAAAAGGGTATCCTTTTGGAGCTGGAGGAAGGTGCTGCATTGCCGATCCCCTCGCTGTCCACAAGTAAAACGCCAGAGCCAGAATCGCAAGGGCAACAGTACTCGTGGTTCCCGAGGCTACACCTGTAATCCATGCGGTGTCAAGATGTAGCAAACCCATCTTGACTAGATAGCAATAAGGGATATTGTTGAGGGCTGTGATGTCGCTAAGCAATGCTAACCACAATTTTCCGGGGGAGGTTCTTTCACCTATAGGAAACAAATGCTGGAGGTTAGGGCGCATGAAAACTTAAGGAATTTGGTTACTCATCTTCTTTTGAAAGTGTCATGCAACCACCCTGCTCTGGAGCGATTCAAAGATTGACTGCTTGAATGATAGAGGTGTCTGATTGATAGTAGTCGGTGTCCGAAACCCCGAATTGTAGACACTCGGACTCATCGGTGAAGAAAGGCCGAAAACAGTTGTTGCACGCACAGTCGGTATCGGGATGCCGGACAAAGATGCAGTTGAGTTTGACAATCGCTGCCCTCCGAAGGACCTCATCAGAGCTACTCGAGGTTATGCACTTGTGTGTATGCCGTACTAGGTGATTTTCTTGGGTAGGCCAGTTGAGAATCTCCTACCGCCAATATGGGATCAATGGAAGCCTCTATAAGTCTGTTAATGCCGAACTTCTATCCAAGTTACATATTACATTGTCAACTTATCTTTGAATTTGCTTGGAAAGCCTCTGATTCTCGCGTCGTCGATTGAAACAAAAGGCATCGAACCATGGACACTCCATCATCGTATGCGGCCAAATCGCCGTTGTTTTTATCAGAATTTCTGTCCTACTTCTCGAGACCCAGTGGGAACAACTATGTCTTCGTTGCCTCGTTTGCTCTATTGGTACTACTTGCCGTGTTCTTCGCGACGCGTGTCTGGGGCCGGTTCCACCCCAGCGTACCCTTCGCTCTCGAGGACGAGTTCCCCAGTCGGAAAAAAAGGGTGCAGCAATATGTGCGGAATTCTCGAGAAGTTCTGGTCAAAGGATATTCAAAGGTAAGTACCTGTAAACCAGCATCGAAATCGAGTTTACATATTCTAACTAGACTTAGTTCAAAGACCAAATCTTTGCCATTGATACCCCATTAGGTTGATATTGCTTCCCCTTCATCTCACGCCCAAATACTGTACGTCTCGGGTGCTAAGGAAACGTTCTGATGTAGGCTGCAATATTATTCTCCCCATTCGATTCATGGATGAACTGAAAAGCAATCCCAACCTCAGCTTCAGCGCCGCCTTAAACGAGGTTCGAACACTCAAACTATCCCCGATGATTTGAATGTGAGAAATTGACGACACTTAGTTCACTCTTGAACGGTACACCAAAGTTGGTGCCCTCCCAGCCTGGTCAATCAGACTATTCTCGGCAAAGTTTAATCCAGCCTTGGGTGAGGTCGTTATTTCAGGCATTTCTACTCAATTATTCTAAATCTTTGTGTCATTAGATTCCTACGCCGAAATATTCCAGAACATGGTTGGCGAACACATTGCGAATCTGTCACCTCCGGGTCACGAAAGAGGTAGGCCTGCGACAACTTTCTGACAGCGAGCAATATTGCACACTTTCTAATTCATCACTTGTCACACAGATTGGGCCTCCATAAATGTGTGGTCATCCATCATTCCCCTCATAACAAAATCAAACGTGCGAGGCTTTCTCGGTTCCGATGCCGCCGAGGATGAGGTCTTTCTTGATGTTGCAGGCACATTCATCATCAACCAAATTGTCTACTCAATAGGTGCAAAGCAGTGGCCGTCGTTCCTCTTGCCAATCGTACACAAGTACCTCCCTGGTTTCCCAGGTCTCGCTGAACAGTATAGCAACGGCGCAAAGGTGGTCTTGAGGCAGATGAAAAACAAGAAGGCCAATGGCCTTAAACCTCTGTCCGATCCTCCCAGCGTTTTCGATTTCGTCAATGACGACGGTCAGTATCTGGACGATTTGCAACTTCAAATGAATATCCAAATGCCCCTGTGTGCTGCAAGCATCCACACTACAACATCAACAGTCGTTCAGTGTCTTTACGACCTGGCCAGTCGCCCAGAATATCTGCCAGCTCTCCGCCAGGAAATACAAGAGGTCACAGACGAGCATGGAGATTTACTCACAAGACGCTTAGCTTCCAAACTGGAAAAGATGGACAGCTTTATCAAGGAAGTACAGCGGTTTTGCTCTCCTGACTTGAGTACGTCCCTGCCACGACTCCTTCCCAACACACTGAGAGTTAAGCTGATGCCATCATCACAGCGACATTCCAGCGCAAAGCCACCGGCCCGGTCACTCTGTCTAACGGTTTTCACCTCCCAAAGGGTGCAAGAATTGAGGTTGCCACTGGTGCCATCAATGCTGATGCCGCGCTCTACGACAATCCCTCCGAGTTTGACGGCTTGCGATTCTACAAGAAACGACAAACAGAGGAAGCCCGTTCAAAGTATCAAGTCTTAAGTGTAAGCAAAGAGGATTTGGCTTGGGGCTATGGGCGAGCCGCATGCCCTGGGAGGTTCCTCGCCGACATGCTGATCAAGATGATCCTCGTGGAGGTCTTGAAGCGATACGATATCAAGATGCCCGACGGCCAGGGCAGGTATGAGAACATGGAGGTTCAAGGCCAGGTGAGATGACCCAAATCAATATTAGAAAGATGTATGCGCCGTCAGCTGACATTTCCCACTTCAATAGACACTGCCAAATGAACAGGGCGAAATTTTGATACGGGAGAGGGATGTAAATGAATAAACTTCCGTAGCCGCCGTGGTCAAGGACAATGGCAAGGATCAACCCAGTAGGAGCACACAAGCAGCACATATCCCAGCGGCACTCCCGCAGCGGGCTTCAACCTCAACTATCAATCTTAATCGAACTTGGGGTTGCATGAGAGCTTTTCACGTCATCCGTTTGCGTCTTCAGATTTTTTGTTGCCCGTTCCAGTACCATATGTGACGACATTTTGGTGCTATCCACCTTCAACATATTGAATCTGAAGAAGTGACTTTTGTTATACTAGGACACAGCAGGTGGCAAAGACTCGGTCAATGCACTTGCTGCTTCAGAGTCCTTTGCAGTCCAAATACTGAGAGCAAAGAAAGTTCACTGATGCGTATTGTCTCAGTTTGCAGGCTTACATACGTAGACTGGAGAACATTCGGATATCCCGCCGCGCGCATCCACCCAGCTATGCGTTCTATCTACACCTTTGCCATCTTCATTGCTTCCTTCAGAAACTCTCCAATGAGGCTGTTAACATTCTTATCACCGGGAGGCAGCATCTGAGTACCAAACGCGCCGGCCAAGCCCTTTTCCCTGTTGACGAACCATGTCATTCCGGGCATGGCGCCCCAGCTCAGTGTATGTCGAGGCAAAAGAGGAGTTTCATTGAGTGTGACGAGCCCACCAATGCCAAACGACAGCTTTCCAAGCGTCTTCTCGCCTCCAGTCAGATTTTCATGCATGAACTAAGATGCAATCGATCAGCTGGTGCTTTATGGAGGCTTCAATACGAGGAAGCTGAGAGTGAAGGTATGCGCTTACCGGCATGTTCATCAAACCCACAGCTTGAGGACCGGTCTTCGAGAACTGTGGTGTAAACATGGCATCCACGGAACTTCGCTTCAAGACGATCGGACTGTCCCTCAATAGGTCCGCCAGGACTTTGACATGGTCTGCGATGCTCGTAATAATTCCGATTCCGCCTGCATCGGTCACGGCGTCTGCGGGATACCACGGAGCCGTCGGAACCAGCTTCCCTTCCGGAGTCCTCATTGCCGTATTCATTAGCTTTGCTTTGATCTCCGGCCGAGCATTCAGATGGAATGTCGTGTGTCGCATTCCCAGAGGGTCAAAAATGTTCTCTTGCATATACTCTCCCAGCGTTGTATGGTTCAATCGCTCGATGATGACGCCGGCCCAATCCAGGCCGCCACCGTACGCCCAGCTTTCACCCGGCTCGAAGACCAGCGGAGTGGAGAATGCCTTAATGACATCTCCGCTGAAGGAGAGTGCGCTCTCGCCTCTGGACTGTCGCCACTTCATCAACATAGGGGTTCTCCCGTCGTATACGATTCCGCTTTGGTGGGTTAAGAGATGTCTGAAAGTAATTTTGTTCGCAGCTGGCGTAAGAACAAGACCACCATCTGCACCCTCGGAGAGGATGTCGGGGTTCTTGAGCTCTGGCAGAAGCGACTCAACCTCATCGTCCAAGGCAATTTGTCCTCGCTCAACAACTTGCAATGCAGCTACTGTGGTCAATAGCTTTGTCCACGAGAAGGCCCAGTATGTTGTATCCTTATCGGGCACTTCATCGCTGTCGAACTTGATGCGACCGGCGCCTTTGCTGTAGAGAGTCTCCCCTGGTAATATTCACTGATTAGATCCACACACCGACGTAACATTCTAGCCATGGCATACCATTTTTGTCGACAACGGTCGCGAAAACACCGAACACGTCATCAGCATCCTTGGCGGTTCGGGCGGTGAGAATGTCGTCCAATGTCGAATCCATGATACGTATGTGATGTAATTATGTCCAAGCGGGAAGTTGCCTCTCAGAAGGGTGTTTACGAGCATTCTTGTCATTGACAATGTCCCTTTTTATTTGTTTGCTGGGCAGAAGAATGTCCACTTGCCACGACCATGGTGGCCGCGCACCCCGCAGACGGACTCAGCGGACAATTGTGTAAGTGACAACTCCGAACCAACCCATGCCAAGTATGCCAAACCGGCTCCCAACGGCTTCGGGCTCCGAACTACACACTTGCATGGGAGAGTTGGATGTCGAAGCGCTCGGCTATGGTGCCCCGAGACCCCTGGATGCAGATTGATAAGGAACCTTGGTTATCTCGGTTGGCCCCTGGTCGTGCTTAGTGATAGGCCTAGATCGATTGGTTCGACACCGAGATAAATCGTATTTTCTAGGTGCCTTCAGAATGAATCACCTTGCAACCTGTGTGTTTGTGTTTACCATACAGATTTCAACCTTACCGAATCGCTTCGTGGAAAGATTAAAGAAAATAAAATGCCCCCTCTGCAACATGACCCGGAGGAGATGGAAGACACCATCGTAATCGCCCAACAATCAGATCTCGGCTCAGGCGCATCTGCCCAGACCACCGCTGTGCGGTCATGTTTACTCTGCCGTCAGTCCATTTTCGTTCTTGGAGTCGAATTTTGCTCCAAGTAATTTAGCACGAGTATTTCTGACATACTGAGCCAATCTAGGTCGGAGAAAGGTCAAATGTGACAAGAAGAAGCCGTGCGACGGCTGCTCTAAGGCCGGCGTGGAATGCGTCTATCCTATGGGCCGCGCAAGTCGACGACAAGGCACTCCCGATCCTGAGCTGACCAACAGATTGAAAAGGCTTGAGGATGTGGTCAGGAGGCTTGGGTCATTTATCGGAGAAGAAGGAATACAACAGGCCCTCCAAATCGCCCCTCCGCAGTCGCCCCACGGACCCCAGCAATCCGCTTCCGCTTCCGATAACAATCCCTCTGCCACTCCGCCGCCTGTGTCTATGGAACAAGATCGATATGAGAAGCCTCAAAAGGTAGCGGCGATTCCAGAGACAGGAAAACTGATAAGGGAGGAGGGGAAAAGCCGGTATATCAGCGGCTCATTTTGGGCGTCTTTGGGAGTTGAGGTAGGATGACCTTGGTTCAGCAACTGGCGGCATCGACGCTATGAGGTTGAGAGACTAACAAATCCCAGCTCGGCGGCGAACACGATACAACTGAAGATCCAGGGTACGATGCTGACTTTGAATCTCTGGAGTCTAATGTCTTGGCCCACAACTTCGATTCCATCTTTGGGAACAGCACCGCGCAACCTGTGGATATTTGCACGTTGCACCCTACCTCTGGAGCATATCGTTGGAAGATGTGGTCTTTATACAAGCAAAATGTTCACCCGGTGGTCAGTTTGTTTCATCTCGCCTCTTTGGAGCAATGGTTCCACGAATCAACCGAGGTGGCATTCGGCATACCACGAAACATGGAACTCGCCATGTTCTGCATATACTACGGGGCTGTTACCAGCATAGATGACGACGATTGTCAATCGATGTTCGACATGGACCGCTGCCATCTCCTCTCAAAATACAGGCTCGGCGTGGAGAAGTGTTTGGTCAGGGCTGGCTTCATGGATACAGATGACCGACTAGTCCTTGAGGCACTCTGCGCTTTCCTGATTATCCTTCGCCGTCATGATGCGAGGCTATCTTGGAAATTATCCGGACTTGCTATCAGGCTGTCCCAGTCTATAGGGATCCATCGTGATGGCTACGCACTCCATCTTCCCTTTTTCGAGGCCGAGATGCGGCGGAGGCTCGCATGGCAACTGTGCAACATTGATGCACCGGCTCAGGAAGATTACGCTTGTGATCCATCCATGTAAGTTTCAACCATACTGGCCTTTCTTTGTATCGAGGACAACTGCTGAAACATTTGTGCACACACAGGCTCGAGATGAGCAGCTTCGATGCTGACATGCCCATCAACGTGAATGATTCCGATCTTACTCCCGATATGCTGGAGAGACCATCGGAGAGACATGGCTTCACTGACAGCACATTTCTTAGGGTGCATGTTGAGATTACGCGTCTCTGGCGGTATGTATTCGACTCTCGACGGCTTCGAGACCGAGGCGAGAAATCAGTAGAATCCATGACGGATACCGAGAAGGATGAATGGCTCGAGCAATGTCATCAACGTCTCCACCAAGATTATCTGAAGTGCCTGTCACTGTCGGATCCATTGCAATGGGTGAAAACTTATTCTCTTCCTCTACTCTCCTGTCCCTGTCCGCTATCGCGATGATCTGGCCCCAACATTGACTCTAACAAATACAGGTCTCGGCATTGTATGTGCGGTGTATGCTTCTTGAACTGAAGCTCAATGTGTTCAAGCCGTTACAGAACCCAGCGAGATTCAATACCGCGAGGCGAAACAAGCTTTTTCTTTGCTCTCTCGAATGTATCGAAGCATCGTACCGACTTCAGCATGACCGTCGCAGTGAAAAGTGGGCATGGTTCTTGAAGTCTTACAACCAGTGGCACGCTCTCGCCTTTGTACTCCACGAACTACGCGAACGGAGGGCAGGCAGCAGTGCCGGTAATGCATGGCGCGCGGTAGAGCGGGTCATGGCATCTAGATGGGAAACGCCGTGCGAGAATTACCGAGGTGGGCATCAGTGGAACACTATCTTGCGCATGTGGGAGGCTGCCAGGGCGGAGAATCGCAAGGTCATGCGGTCTCCTCACCAAGACACCGAGACTTCTATGGGCGGCCTACGCCCTTCATCAGCGGCATTGACTGAAGGCAATATGAGCCGAACACCTCTCAAAGCTCCTGCCGTTACGACAGCATCTTCCGAACCAGCAAATGCACTATCTCTATCAAGTGGTATAAGATGCAGTGGCGTTGACTTTCAAGAATATGCCTCTTCTGAAGAGATGCGATCATTCCCGAAACAGGCCAATTTTTCGATGATTGACATGGAAGAATCGCCTGCGGACAGATACAGCACTGTGTTTAGTGATAAGAGTCTGGTAATACCGGGAGTAGACGATTGGACGGAAGGATTTGAAATAGACTTGGAGCTATAATCCGCTTGATGGGATTCTTTCCCTAGTTGCCCTTTTGTTCATGGTTAAAGTAATCGACTTTCGCACATTATCTCTGGCGTCTTGTCCATTATGGACTTGAATCCGAATCATTGATGCAGTCGTTTCATGTATGTCGCCGTTATTCCTGTGCTTCGCTTTCGAGCCATAATTACTTGGTACACAACGCTGGACAGTTCAGAAGCGGACGTGGCATAGAAATCTACTTGTTGCATAGCATATTGTTGGTGGAGTGGATCAGAGCAGAGTTGATCTCACCCGAGTAGGAAGGTGGCAGCAATGAGTCTAGGTGATGGTCGTCTCGGACTCGTCGGCGTGGGTCTCCGGGCTCATTCGGACAGAAAACGCGACAACTGCTCATCACAGCACCATGCCCCAGAGGCGCCTTCGGACTTTTTCGGTCAATACACGCGAACACCGCTTGCCAAAACTCAATGCCAGAAATGCCACAAGTTGGTTCAGTATGATACCATCTCACCTGCCTGAGAAGCCAGCATCTCACACGTAGAGATAAGCGACCCTGGGCGAATGATGTCGGAGCAAAGAATGATGAGGACGCACTAGCGGACTGGATGAGATAAGACGTATCAAACGAATAGCCTCTTAAAGTAAAGCAAGCCTAGCTAGATAAAAATCAAAAAGAAAAGTGCTGTCCTTCCTCCTTTTTTTTGGTTCTGCCCAGCGCGCAAGGGAGATTTCCAATTCAATAGCCTTTCTAACCCGGTCATTGCTTGTAAAACTGTCCAATAATGGATTTACACAATAAGCGACAAATAATTCAAGAGCCCGCAGCAGAACACCCTTCCCACGACTCTGTTGAGGACACCGGAATCGTGGGTCCATCTTCCAGTCTAAGACAGCCGCAACAATTTCAGCTACGGTTAAATCTTTGGTCAGCTGTTGCCATGGGAGTATGCATTGCTGGGACTGTAAGTTGACGAAAACTACGAAAGAAATGGAAGAAGAGCCGAGTGCCGTTCGATTAGTGCTGACGACCTTGTTTTCCAAGTGGGAGGGCATAGGATCGGTTATATTGCAGGGATTTGGTCTGGGAGGCGCCCCAACCGTCATCTGGGGCTATTTGCTCGCAGCGGTTGGCTTTACATGTGTTTCTGCGTCCTTGGCAGAGTTGACGAGGTAAGATTTCTTGAAACAGGCAATTGCACTGCCCTGCCGGCCTTAGGTTGTGGCTTCGAAACATTGGCTTACAGCCCGTTGTGAACAGTATCTGGCCGACGGCTGGGGCCCAGTATTATTGGACAGCAAGACTGTATTCAGAGAATTGGCGGCCGTTGGTGGTAGGTTGTTGCGGGCATACGCCGTCCACTATAGCTTACAAATGTGTAGTCATATTATGTCGTCTGGGCAAGCCTGGGGGGGTTCTTCTTTCGGCAGTATCTGTGGCCGTGGGCGTCGTGCAACAAATTCAAGCAGCAGTGATGCTGCAGAATCCCACATACATGCCTCAACGTTGGCACTTGCCGTGTGTTAGTCACGAATTTGCTTCCTTTTGACCACCATTGCATTGCCAGCAATTTTCAGTACCACTAGGACTTACTTTACCGACAGATGTACTGGGCACTTCTGACCATTCATCTGCTGGTGAACATATTCGGAGTTAAGCTCTTCAGCTTGTTAAACTTTTGGGGTATTGGGTATTGCCAGTCATCACATTCTTTCGAGTCATGCTGATAGGAGGCAGCCGCACTCATACACCTATCATTTCTCTTCATCGCCATGATTGTTCTTCTCGCCACTACTGAGAACAAGAACAGCGCTCAGAGCGTCTTTGTAGAGTTTCAGAACACTTCTGGGTGGCCAACCGACGGGATCGCCTTCTGGGTGGGCATCATTACGGCGTGCGCCGGATTTGGCGGCATCCATTCCGTTGTCATGTTAAGCAAGGAGACCAGAGACGCAGCAAACAACATCCCTAGATCACGTAAGTGACAAGTTGCCACGGCTCCAACGCCGGGACTAACGTCTCACAGTCTTGTGCTCGCTGATTATACGCACTGCCATGCCTTCCATGGGTGCTCGCATTGCTCTTCTGTACCGGCAGCTTGGATTTGCTCCTGCAGTCCTCAGTGAGCTTTGTGAGTCCGATGACGCAAATTTACCTGAACTCAACCCACAACGTCTCAGTGGCAGTTTTCCTGCAGGTTATGACCTTTGCAGTCGGCGCTGGTGCGAGCATGAACCTCGTCGGCTCAGCCGGACGCGCCATCCACTCGGCCGCCTTGGATGGCGCGCTGCCCCCGGTATTGTCCAAGATTCATCGAAAGTGGAATGCTCCGGTGCTGGCTCTATTGGTGACATTTGTTGCCCTGTGTCTGATCTGTCTGATCTACATATGGAACACTACGGCCTTCTTCGCCTTTTTGTCAGCTTTTTTCACCCTACAGATGGTTTCGTATATCATTCCCATCGGGCTGCTGATGTACCGATCCATCGGCAGAGAGTTTGAACTGGGGCCCTGGCAAATAGGCCGGTTCCGTGTTATCGTTCACACCATGTCAGTGGTATGGTGCGTCCTCCTCATCATTTTCCCGTCATTTCCGACAACGCTGCCGGTGAAGGCTCCCAACATGAATTACTCGATCGTGATCGTTACAGGCATCTTCGCTTTGGCGACCGTTCTTTACTTCGCTTACGCTCGGGGCCGGTTTACAGGGCTGAAGTTGGAAACCTTGGTCGGCATCAGTGCTGGCGAGAACTAAGATTCGGGCAACGCAAGGCAAGAGTGCCGGAAGGCAGCGGTTCAAAAGCCGCCGATGTCAACATTGTTCTGGTCAATGATATCAACAACTCATCTCGGCTTGTCTATGCCAAGTTTCCGTCTCAATGATGATGGTGATGTAAAGTCTGATATATGTGCACTATCAAGCTTCTTTCTTAGGTGTGAATAGTCGTATATCAGTTTGAGGATCAAGAAACTTGGAAATCAATGATGTTCCTGGTCGAATGGCTGAGGTTGACATGCTTGTAGATGTCCAGAATTACAAGCCAAGAGCAATTGGCGCCAGTCACCTATGAAAGAAAGTCCTAAGCAAGAGACACTCAAATGAAACCAGCTGTTCATACGGAAAATACTATCGATCTGTTTACTTCCTAGCTAATACATGACGCGGAACAAACTAATTTAAGGAGCAGCAACATATATATGCGGTCACTGTGAACTCTAGTCTACCAGTAAACTCCTTCCTTCGGCAACAGTGGGATCGCCAATTCTTCCAGCGTTCCCTCTTTTCCGCTGATGACATCTTCTTTGACCTTGTCGTACCATTCATCCAGTACAGCCTGAGCATCGAAGTCTCTGACCCGAGGAAACCGCTTCATAGCCCACTCCTTTGGGTTGGCCTGAATAGTGTCCCAATCAACCTTGTGAAACGCATCTCTGTGCACGATAGCGTTCGCATGGAACTTGTTGGCGCGGCGGTACCTCAGTCGTTGGGCAACCTCGAGGGCTAACTTGACATCGCCATCGGACTTACCAAGACACGCGGCGACTGTCACGGCGTCCTCGATTGCCTGTGAACCACCCTGGCCGGAGGTGGGAAGATGAGCATGGGCCGCGTCGCCAATGAGGATGATTCGACCGCCTTTGGACGTCCATTTCTTGATGTGAGGCCGATAAACCAACTTGAAGTCAATCAAGCATTCAGGCGGGGTGCACTCCAGCAAGGCTTTGCACTCGGGGGCGAACACGGAAATGAAGGGGTCGACTGCGGATTTGGGCACGCTGTGAGACCAAGATTCCTCGACGTCGTTGTTGTCTGGGTGCATCATGACCCAGGCGACCTCCTTTCCGCCGTTCCAAGAATAGGCCAGGATGCTCAGGTTGTCGTACGCCCAGGCTTTGATGACGTCCTCGCCGTTGCGGAAGAAATTCTTGAGGTCGGGATGGGCCAGGGCTGTCTCGCTCGCGGTGAAGTAGGACCTGAAGATGGCCCACCCGCTCTTCTCCTCTTCGTTCTCGAGACCAAGAACAGCCTTGCGCGCGAAAGATCGACTGCCATCAGCAGCAATGACGCAGTCGGACCAGAAAGTCTTCCCGTCCTCGAACGTGACGCCTGCCTGGTTACGCTCCTCGGATTCCTTATAATCGACAATCGACTTTCCCAGTTCAATCTGGACACCGAGACGGCGTGCATACGCCATGAAGATGCCATGCTGCTTGCCCCGATGAGCAGCGAAAGTTCTGGCTCGATCTTCGTCTTTCATGAACCAGGGAACAGGGTAGAGGAGCGTGCCGTCATATTTGTACATCTCAAGCACGTCGGATTCGCACCCAATAGACAGGATTTCCTGTCCCACCTTTCCATCATCCCATCTGGAGATGACTAGGCCGCCGTTGACGAAGAAGTCGATGATATCTGACACCCGACAGGTCAGTCCCATCACTCAGAATTAAAGGGGCATTGCATGTGAGCCAGTTGAAAAGAAAGAAAGATGCTTGGAGGTTTGATTACCTCCACGAGTGTTTGAGTCGACGTATCTCTCTATGAGAGTAACTTTCATGCCTCGCAGCCGGCACTCGATTGCCGCAGACAGGCGTCCGAATCCGGCACCGACAACTATGACTTCGAGGGGCGCCATGGCGTATTTAAATATGTTTGGGTGTGTGTGAAGACTTGATTGGGAGGTTGAGTGATGCAGCCGGAGTAGCATGAATGAAGGCAATGAATTAACGGACGCGGCTTCTATGCTCCTCTCAGGAGACGATTTAATGATACATCTACCAGTGCATGTGCAACCATTAATTGGGTTGGAAGCACGCCGTAGACCAAATTCCGAAAGTTACGAGCTTGGAATGTTTTACACGACAGCTCAGCCGGCAAATTTGACACTCGCTTCCGACCCTCCGCAGTTCCGAGCTACTTCGCAACATCTCATCCAATGTCCGGAGCCACTTACCGAGAGCGCCGAAAACTGAACCTCGCGATTACAAAGGGCTTTTCTGGGGGTGAGAGACAAATTCCCCTGAAGAGTCAATAGTCTATTGTCACGAGATACAGAAACTTGTTTCGCTTGCAGACCAGCTTTATTAGCTTCGCTACCAACATTCACTATGGCTTCCAGGTTTGAAACGCTGCAAATACACGCCGGCCAGGAGACCGACCCGGTCACCAAATCAAGAGCCGTACCTATCTACCAAACCGCATACTTCAATTTTGACGACTCGGCACACGCGGCACGATGCTACGGCCTGGAGGAAGACGGACACATCGGCAGTCGAACATCGAACCCAACCACTGACGTATTGGAGAAGCGCATGGCGGCGCTAGAGGGCGGGCTCGCCGCCGTTGCCGTTGCCTCTGGCCAGTCAGCTGTGTTCATGACCATACTGTGTCTGGCCGGACGAGGTGAGAGCATCATATCAACTGCTAACATGTATCACGGCGCGTACAATCAGTTCAGCTTCCTGTTGCCGGACCTGGGCATTTCGGTGGATATTGTCCAAGAAACCCCGGAATCCATCGAGGCAGCGATAAACGAGACGACAAGGGCCATCTATCTCGAGAGCATGGGGCATCCACGCATGAACGTTCCAGATATCGAGGCTATTGCCCAAGTAGCACACCGACATGGCATACCTCTGGTGGTCGACAACACCGCCGGGGCTGGAGGCTACTGGTGCCAGCCGATTCTCCACGGCGCCGACATCGTAACGCATAGTGCTAGCAAATGGATCTGCGGCCACGGAACCTCCGTGGGTGGTGTTGTTGTTGACTCGGGAAGATTCGACTGGCGCAGTCCGAGATTTGCAAGGCTCAACCAGCCCAACCCGGGCTTCCACAACATCAACTTCCACGAGTCGTTTGGGAAGCTCGCCTTTGTGAACCGGCTCAGGCACCAGATTCTCCGCGACTCTGGGGCCTGTCTGTCGCCGTACAATAGCCGAGACCTTCTCATTGGGCTGGAGACGCTCAGTCTGCGGTGCGAGAGGCACACACGCAACGCGACAGAGCTTGCGGTCTGGCTGTGTGGTCATCCTGGCATCTCTTGGGTCGACTATCCAGGGTTAGAGAACCATCCGAAATCTCTTGCCGCTACCAAGTATTTCCCTCGTGGCGCGGGGGCTGTCATTCTCTTCGGTGTAAGAGGTGGTGCCGTTGTTGGAGAATCACTCGTGGATGGCTTCAAGCTCATCACCCACATGGCCTCGTAAGTCCCACTCACGGAATGCTTGATGGTTCCCATTGTCACCTACGTTTCGCGTTTCATCGGTCTCACAAAGAATTTGGAATAGATTCGGCGACGCCAAAAGTGCGGCGACTCATCCTTGGTCATCTACACACAAGCCGATGTATCCGAAGGAGAAGATCGACCTAGGTGTAACTGAAGACATGGTACGGATGTCAGTAGGCTTGGAGCATATCGAAGACATCAAACAGGACATACAGCAGAGTCTCGACGCGTGTTCGACAGTCTCTAAGAAGTAGCCTAGTATTTCTAAACAAATTGCATACTTGTCTTTCCTTCACATATCTCTAGGCGTTTCCGCCATCCCAGCACGGGTTCAGAGCACACGATAAACTTCAGTAGTGTCCCCCAAAGGCAAAAACGGGCTTTCACGGTTCGTGTCACTGGGAAATGTGTGTTAGACAATGCAGTAGTTATTGAGCTAAACCAAAATCAAGCCTGGCTATCCTGAAAACTGATGCATTAGGTGTGTTACGTACGGCTCCTGTGAAGAAAATTTGCTTTACGCCTATTTCTGCCGCACTCAGACCATCTTCTCACACGTACAGAAACTCATTTCCTTCAGACACCTGGCTGAGTGAAAGGTCAATGTGCGAGTCTACGGCGGTTTCGAAGCCGATTTCCCGCACAACGGCCTCGGCCTTCCGCACTCCGAACGTTGACTCCGATATCTGAGCTTAACCGTGCTTTCTTAAACCGAATTCGGTTGCACCGGTGTTCGCTCTGGAGTAGATCGCAATTATGAATACCGAGTCTGGAGCGTCTGCCTGGGGCGTGCTTCGCGTCTCCAAGAAACCGCTCTTACTTGTTGTTGACGTTGTCTATCTGCATATATCAGTGAAAGTACGACTTGCTTCCACTCGATATCCCCCGAAACACACCAAGCCAATATGTCTACCCCCGACCAGCCACAAAAAGCCTCAATGCAGGGCAAAACAGCCGTCATATCAGGCTCCTCAGCCGGCATCGGCGCCGCCATCGCCATCGAACTCTCCACCCGCGGCGCCAACATCGTCTTGAACTACCCGTCCCCACACCTGCAGACCGAATGCGAGCAGATCGGCGCCAAGCTTCACACGCCATGGATAGCCGTCTGCGCCGACCTGTCGACCGTCTCGGGCCCCGCGGCCCTGGTCTCCGCGGCCGTGGCGCGGTTCAAGCAGATCGACATTCTGGTCAGCAACGCTGGCATCGTGCCTCTCGGGCCTCTCGGAGAAGCGGACGCGGATACGTGGGATCGGGCGCTCAAGCTGAACTCCAGGGGCGCGTTTCTTCTGGTCAAGGCGGCGCTGCCGCATCTGACGCCCTTTGAGCCGCACGCGAGGAGGTCAGAGTCGGCATCAGCGGCTGCCGGAGGCGGGTCGCGAATCATCATCGTGGCCTCCGTCGCGTCGCGGATGCCGGAGGTGAATCAGACCATTTACGCTGCGAGCAAGGGGACGCTCGACGCTATGATTAGAGTGTGGGCTAAGGAGCTGCCTCCTGTGTACGGATGTACCGTGAACGCGGTTGCGCCTGGTCCGATTAGTACGGAGACGTTCCTCAAGAACATCAGTCCTCACTTTGATATGGTCAAACAGGACTTGGATCAGAGGACACCTGTCGAGGGCGCCTTTGGCGATGTGAAGGACGTTGCGTGGACGGTGGCATTTCTCGCCGAGGAAAGATCGCGCTGGATTAATGGGGAATACATACTTCTAACAGGAGGATGTTATATCCACTGATAGTCATGTTCTGTAGTTCACTTCTATCAAATTGGCGGGTGCAATGTGCATTAATGTGCGGCTCCCTGCGAGGGATCGATGAGTTGACCTGCGGGAAACAGTGATGAGTTTCATCAGGGATAGGCCCAAGAACCTGAGTGAGGTGTTGTTGCGTGATGTCTATGATGATGGGCAACAGTCATCAAAGCATTGAAGTGGGAGGAGACAGCCACCGATGAATAGACATGCTCCCCAAACATTCGGTTTCATTGTGAAGAAGATCAAATCGAAAATAATTGTATATCCCAGATCAATGCTGTTTCCTGCCCAATTCCGCCAACGCCTTGCTATGGATGCGCTCATCGAGCCGAGTCAGATATAGAATACAAGAAGGAAGAAAACGGAGAACTACGCCTTGACCGCCGCATGGCCGTTCTGACCGCTCGTCTTCTTGGCCTCATCATCTGACTTCTTCGGTGCCTCCAAGAACGACCCGAGAGCCCAAAGCAGCGCGCATCCAAGCAAGGCCGTAGCACCGACCAGCTTCTTCTCCCACCAGTTGTCGTTCGTCAGCGGCTTCGCCATCTGCACCCGCTTCGCCTGCGCCTTCGCCTTCTGCTCCTCGCCGCGCGCAGCCTTCTCCGTTAGCGTCGCGTTCCTCGCCGCCGCATCTGCTTCCTCGGCCCTCTTCTTCAGCGCGGCGATCTTCTGGCTGAGCTCCAGCAGCTCCTCGTCCAGCACCATGTTCTTCGCGCCGTCGACCTCGACATTCTGCACGTTGCCGAAGAAGTCGGTGATGCGGCGGCTGCGCGCGGCGTCGGCGCCGCCGGGGAAGAGGTCGTAGCGCACGCCGGCGTTGGAGTGGATCTTCTCGTAGGTGTAGCTGTCGAACAGCTCGCCGACCGTCTTCTTGGAGCTGAGGTCCTGGACCTGCGACTCGAGGAACTCGAGGTTGTAGTAGGTGTAGCGGTCGATGACGGCGACGCCGACGTCGTTGTCGGCGTGGTGGGAGTATGAGGACTGGTCGAGCTCGGAGGAGCCGGTGGCGATGATGTTGGGGGAGTAGAGCTTGCTGTACATTGTGTTGGCCTGGCATGTGTCGATCATGAAGAGGATTTCGTGGTATCTAAAACAGTCAGCATTCGTGGCGCCTTCGTCTCGGGGTGCTCAGGTTCCTACCTCTTCTTCTCCCACATCTGCTCGAACGCATCCGCCAAGTCGAACGCGCCAATCTCCTCGGCGTCCTGGAACTTCAAGAACTCGTTGCCGCCATGGCCCGTCATGTACACGAGGATGTTGCTCCGGTCGTCCGTCAGCAGGCGCTTGCTGCGCGGCATCTCGTCACCGACGCGGTCGGTCAGCAGGCGGATGAAGTTCTCGACGGTGACCTCGTAGCCGCGGTAGTCGACCTCGATGTTGTCGCCGTACAGGTCGACGGCGCGGTCCGAGTTGCTGTAGACAGTGCCCGGGAAGGCGTTGCGCGGGTTGCAGGCCATGTCGTCGGGCAGCATGAGGATGATCTGCGAGTCGGGGATGCCGAGGCGCTTGACAGTGCGGTAGATGGAGAGGACGTTGGCGAGGTGGCGGTAGTTGAACCAGAAGCGCGAGGTGCAGACGAGGACGGCCCAGTTGCTGGTGTGCTCGGCGAGGACGGCCGGGCCGAGCGTCGAGGCCGCCAGCAGGACTGGCAATTGCAGGAAGCGGGAGAGCTTCATGTCGGCGCTGGTGTTCTCGTAGGTCCTGAGGGGGGAAAGAACAAATTGCAGCCGGGGTATCAAGGGAGATGAGGGGCCGCGTCGGGTTGAAGTTGTTGATGGAGGCGACGGGTTGGTAAGGGGGAGTGCCGCGGAGCTACATCCTGACAAACGCTTACCGCCAGGTGCCCGACCTTAGTCAGCCCGTTGGTTGCAGGTGGAAGCACGGTCCAAGGGCCCGCGGGGAGCGTTGGAAATCGCGGGTCGGTTGGCGTTCTCCACTGAACAAGATCGGTGTTAGGTACCTTACCTCGAGTACCTATTTGTATCCAAGTGACAGTTAGGTTTGGTGATGCGTACACTCAGAGAACCCGACCGTTTCAGCGAATGAGTAGTATTCTGAATAGTTCAATTGGAATAAAAGGTACACTTTTGAATTGTTGAAATCCGACACTGCTAAGAACTATGAGAAACATGTTGAGTTGTAGGTACCTGCAGATACCACGATTGAATCGAAATCGACCCCTGTCGGCATGTACCAGACGGCTGGGTGCTTGGAATATCCATCATCATCAGACAGCAACCCCCGAAGTTGCCGTAGCGTTGCTCCTCCTGAACGGAAGAACTCAGCCAACCTGTGACTGGCAGCTCACTTCTTGGCCAGAACCCAGAGGAATTCAGCATCAACCTCGTCGTCAATGACATCCTTGATGAGGATTTCCAGCCCAGTCTCCTTGAGCTTCTCGAGCGTCGCCTCGGTACCCCAGCCGCTCCAGTACATCCATCCCTTCTCGTGCAGCCACTTCTCCATGACGACCCCGGGCATGTTCTCGGACGCAAAGTTGACGAGTAGGAAGCCGCCGGGCTTCAGCCATCTGGCAAGCCGGCGAATCATCTCGCTCTGCTCCTCGCGAGGCAGGTGGATGACACTGTACATGCCGACGATGGCGTCGAACGAGTTCTCGGAGAACTCGAGCGCCATCATGTCGCCCTCGACGAAGGTGACGCGGTCGCGGCCGTGCTTGGCGAGGTTCTCCTTAGCGATCTCGATCTGGACGCTTGAGATGTCGTTGGCCGTGACGAAGACGTCGGGCGTCGTGAGCAGCCTGTCGGTGACGGGCTGGCCGCAGCCGCAGCCGAGTTCCAGGACGAGCGACATCTGGCCGGCGAGGGGCTTCGCGGCGAGCAGCTTCTCCATGAGCTTCTCGAGGTACTCGAGGCGCAGGGAGGACTGCTGGTCGGTCCAGCTGTTGTAGGCCGGAGCGATGGCGTCGTAGGACTCCTTCAGACGGGCCTTGACGTCCGCCGGGGCGACGGCGACCTGCTGGTCTGCTGGGCGTTCCGGCATTATGATTGTTTGTTTGGATTGGTTTGGATTGGTTTTAGACTATCTGAGTGTCTGTCTTTCCCTGTGTGTGCCTGATGCTCTCGCGAGTATCCCCGTAAAAGTCAAGTGACCCCCTTTTGCGACTTGACTATGACGAGAAAAGGGAGGAAAAGCTGACGGAGGAGGGGAATAGATGGGGTTTAAATAGGTAAGATGCGGAGTGGTTGATCATGCTGACACTGGCACGGATTGAGGAGGGGCTTTTAAGTGCGAGCTTCGAGCCTCAAGATGGAGGGGAAGTAGCTGCACGGGCCAATTGTTTGCGATTGCATTCTAGGATCCCTTAACCTGTCTCGGTGGTGAGAGTCATCGGCCAGAGTCACTTGGGATGTTCTGTTCAATTCCAAGGAATTGACCGCTTAATTGACTGTTTACCGGCCACTTGAATGAGTCGAAAACCAAAGTTCCAACTACGATTGAGATCCTCAGCGTAATGTGTGCAGCTAAATATGCAGGACAGTAGGCGAAGGGGAGAATCTGGGGTGGAGGACGTGGGGACGGCGGCCGACGGGTAAAGAGGGGTGGAGGGGTCCTGGGACACAAGCTGGGCCTAGGCCGCTGGAAACGGGAATAGTTGATGGGTCTGGAGGAGCAGACTCGGAGAAGTCAAGTCCGAGATCTCGAGCCGCCGTCGCATATCCGTCCGGCAGGGCGTCAAGCTGGTGATGATCACGTTCACGGTCTGCGTCAGGATCGTGTGATGCTGGGCGACCTCATGGTCTGGAGTTGCCGGATGCAGGTCATCGCAGCAAACATCAGGATACCGCTGCCAATGCGGCTTGCAATGAAAACCGAACGAACCCCGCTGAGCAGAGAAAACGTTGTTGATGGGGCGATGTAAAGTTTCCATACCATCGGGCTCATTTTGGTGTGGCACTGAGTTTTGTGCCGTGCGATGGCGGCAGGATGCCCTGAAATCAATCCGAAGCTTTAGCGGAGGTTGTTAGGTTGCCGGCCCGTCAAAGTCTGATTACTTAAGCTTAACCGCACACAGGTCTGCACCTCGCATTTCTGGCCAGAGTCACGTCGATTTTTTCCTGCCTCCCCACGTGCCGTAATGACGTTTGGCGCTAGCACTGAGGGGGGACAATCACATGCACAGAATACGAAATGAGCTCTCTGCAGTGTCTCTGCCAGTCTCCACTTTGACGAGGAGGGGAGGGGAAAAGTGACAACTTGCCCCAGAGACAATGGAAAGAAAGAAAGCCCGCTGCAACCCGCCCGAGCAGGACCGACATGCCGACGAATGCCATCTGCCATTCAAGACTCAAAGACTCCAACGGCTGACGCGCCTGGTGTAGCAGTGTAGCAGCACCAAGCAGTACGGATACCCTTGCTACCTTACCCTGCGTGTGCCTGTCTCGCCATTGCTCTGCCTCCTGCGAATAGAGACGCAGGCCGCAGCCAGAGCTACGGAAGCTCCAGCAATAGCAAAACCGGAGGCAATTGATCTTCGCCCCCCCTTCGCAAATTGACAGTGAGCTCCCAGCCTGTCACTAGTCGAATCGATGCCAGCTTGGGCGACACCACACCACCATTGGACCATCGAGTGCGACCCTTGACTCTGGCTTACCTTATGCCCCGGTGGTGGTGGAGAGTCGACTCGTCTCGTGCAGACCGGACCACACACCAAGCCAAACAGAACCGAACCAAACCAAACCAAACCTGTGCCGTCTGGCATCCCCGGTCCTTGCATCATCATACCTTGACGAGGACGAGGAAGCAAACAAAGAAAAACTGCCCCGCCCCGTGCTGCGCTGCACCTCGCACCCAAGACCCTTGCGCCTCGACGGCAGCAGTCCCAGCATCCCAGCATCCCAGCAGCTGCCAGCAGCACAGAGAGGAACTGCACAAAGAACCCCTCTGGAGGCTTTCCCTCCTCATATCTATATCCGTACATACATATCCATACCCGTACGGACCAAACGGCAACAAAACAACAACCCTGCTCGCCTCGTTTGTTTGCTTGTGCCTGCCTGCCGCACTGCGCCTGGCCCTGTCAGACCCTGCTTGCGCCCTGGGGACTTGGTATCCGATCGCAATAATAACTCCCAGCTGCCCAGCCCGCGCTGCAAGCTATGCTAGTCTCTGCAATCTGCAGAACTGAGGAGCGCGCTACCGAAATATTCTCCACGACACCATCCCTCCACCGACGGCTGACCGACCCTGACTCTGCCAACTGCCCTGCCCGTTCCATTCTGTTCTGGGTCCAACGGGTCTCCATACCTACCTACGGATACACTCCCGTCCTCGCTTTTAGCGCTTGCGAAGTCGGTGCCAGCTGGTCGGAGAGAGGGGCTCCAAACACCGGATGACCGACGCAAAACTCGTCGATTATGAAATCCTCTTGACAAAGTCTGCCGCCGCCGTTGTTGCCTCTTTTTTCTGCATCTCACTCAAATCCGACATTGTCTTCTCCTTCAACAAAGTCCGACGAAATTTCGATACCATCGACCGCAATAGCTCGACGTTTTGCGCCAACGCAGACGCCGCATCCCCAACTTATAGTCCGTCCTCGCTACTTCGCGCTTCGTGCTTCCGCCGCCGACCGAAGCTTATTCCGCCCGTCCAAGCCATCCGATCCCCTGGAGTTCCTGACTGGTGCGACGTATCTCTAGCCGCAGACCCAGCTGCCATTATTTGATCCTCCGTCTGTTTTCCCTCCTCACTAAAGGTGTCACGCACGCCTCTTGCCGTCACCTAAATCCAAGACTGCTCTCGAACGCCGCCTGAGTGGACATTCCCATCCGCACCCGCGTCGCCAGCAATATGGGGCGCCCGCCGGCGTACATCTTCGTTGTCAGGTTGGTAGACTTCGTTCCTGGCCTGTCTCTCTTCGGACGCTGACACTTCTGCAGGCACGGCGCACGTCTCGACGGCGCTGACAAGAGATGGCACCTAACATCCCCGACTCCCTACGACCCTCCCCTCACCTATGGCGGCTGGCAGCAGTCCAAGGCCCTCGGCGTCCGGATTGCCAGCATCCTGCGCCAGGCCGAGGCTGATTCGAACAGGACCCCAAACGGCCGTGACAGCTCGACAGACTCGAAGAAGCGACGCAAGTTCAAGGTCGTCCTCCACAGCTCCCCGTTCCTACGATGCGTCCAAACCTCCGTGGCCATCAGCGCAGGCCTGGCCCAGGCCCCTCCCCTGAACACGCCTTCATACCCGATGCCTTCGCCCAGCACGAATCCTTCCGCCTCTCCCTTCGTCCTTCCGGCTTCTGTAACTGAGGAGGTCGACCCCCTCTCCACCGATGCGAGCGAGAACAAGCCCGAGCCCCCCAAGAAGAGGATCAAGCGGTCCACGCTACGTCTCGACGCCTTCCTGGGCGAGTGGCTTTCTCCCGAATACTTTGAGATGATCACGCCTCCCCCAGGCTCAGCGATGATGCTGGCCGGCGCCAAGGCGGATCTGCTCAGGCGGGAGAACATCAGCGCCCACGACCAGATCGTGGAGCACTCCCATCACCACGCCAGCTCGGTTGGCCAGGCCCAGAGCCAGCTGTGGAACAGTCCCAAGTTCAGAGCGACCCCCGAGCGATCCGGCTCTACCGACTCGAACGCGCCGTCCATCTTTGGTCTGGATAGCGGCCGGCCTAGAAGTCGGGCGGACAGCGCAGCAAGCTCCTCCAGCCAGCGCGTCCGCTTCACGGCTCCCGAGCCGGGAAACCCAAAGGACGGATACGTCGCCCCGACCCCGAACTACGCCGTCTCGTCGAACGTGAAGATCCCCGACGGCTACGTGGCGCATGCGAGGGACGCCTGTTTGCACGTTGACTACCAGTGGGACTCGATGAGGGAGCCGTTTGACTGGGGCGACGGCGGCAAGTACGGAGAGGAGTGGACGGCCATGCACCAACGGTTTAGACGCGGCGTGCAGAAGCTCGTGGACTGGTACACCACAGCCGAGCGTCCAAGTGAGATGGTCACCAAGACGGTGAGGACGTCTCATAACGGCGACACCGAATGTGCTATTGACGACGACGATGAGGAAGACGTCGAGTCGGTTGTCATTCTCGTTTCCCATGGCGCCGGCTGCAACGCTCTGATTGGTGCCATTACCCACCAGCCGGTGCTCATGGACGTAGGTATGGCGTCTTTGACCATGGCTGTCCGCAAGCCGAACCGCGAGGCCGAGCCCTCTGCCCTAGACACGCCAATGTCGGAAGTTGCCGATCCAATGTCTCAGTCGGGAGTCATCCCAGTCCACCAGTACTACGACCTTAAGCTGTTCGCAAACACCGATCATCTAAGGCCGAGCTCATCCTCCACACACAACCTCTCCAGAGCCCCCTCCACGGCATCAAACTCGAGCCACTCCCAAAATGGCCAATCAGGCGCCCGTGGTCGTATCGCGACGGGAAACGGGGCGTACACGCCCGCGCCCATCACCTTTAACCCGGAGTCGTTCGTCTTCCCGGGCAGCCGCAGCACATCGGCAAACGCCAACCTCGGCAGCATGCGCCGCACATCGCATAACAACACCTACTCCCTCCCTCGGACACCCGCGCTGAACACAACGGGCATCACCGTGGGAAGCGGCGTCACGAGCTTCACCAACACTTCCACCACAAACTACAACAACAATAACAACACGAATGCGTCACCCACGCTATCTGCGGGCCTGTGGTCGCCAATCACGCCTAAGAAGGACGCAGACGAAGAGGAAGAGGACGACGACATTTTCCCCGACTTTGACCACCGCAAGAAGCTCGCAGCCCTCTCCAAGCAGGGTCCCGAGATCGTGAAGCCCCCGACGCCCGAGCGCAAGGAGCCGCAGTTCGGCGGTCCCACCAAGGTACCCCTGCGGTTCCAGGAGATCTCCCGCCCGACCTCGAGCGACGGCACGGAGGAGGAGAACAAGGTGCCCCCGCTCAGCTTCGCCACCGGCGGCGGCCTCTGGGGGGCGCCGCGGCCGCTGGGCGAGACGGAGATCATGCGCGACATGACGACGTCCAA